CTTGTCGAGAGGAAATCGTACGATAAGTCATCGCGTACGCGTATCCGAAGCTTCAATTAAACGATCGTACGACTCGGCGATAATGGCGTTTCGCTAAATGACGGGTTCACGGCTGTTACCGCCGCTTTTCTCCCCTTTTTCTTATTGCTGCTGTATATATCAGTGATTTGTTGCTTCGAATATTTTCGATGTCACGAGGAGAAAAATAAAATTAACGCGACCCGTTGTCCCCCTGACTTTTTACGATTGATAAACGAAGAGCCGTAAACGAGGCGTTACTCGAAATTAATCACCGACGCTTCTAACAGTGGCCATCTGTGTTCGAACGCATTCCTCGCGAAATAGGCTATCGTCTCGGCTTCAAGGTTTCCTCGAAGCTCGTGCATTCCATCGAAATTTATTTTTCAAACAATTATTCGCTACGCGAGAATCCGTTCTCCGCAGAGACGCGAGATTCCTCTCGGCGTCGTCTTCGCTTTCGGTACACGCGTCTTTCTACCCGTTCCACCACCTCCTCGATTCTTACGTTCCTGGATATATCCCTGAATGGAGGTGGAGAAGAGAGAAGGAGGAGAAGGATAGAGTAGTTAAGTTAGTCTGTCGGTCAGTGACTGCCTGACTTTCCCGGCGCAGCTGAAGGTCAACTCTCCCCTTCTCTCGACCTCATCCTCATCCTCATCCTCCCCCTCCTCCGCCTGGTCTTCTTCCTCCTCCTACCCACTCCACCACCCGCTGAACCGCTGCTGCCGCTGCCACTGCCGTTCCCTCTCGGACGCTACCAACACCGACACCGACCCATCTTTATCCTTCCCTTCTTCTCTTCTCTTCTTCTTCTTCCTTCCTCTCGCCTCGTCTTCTTCCATATGCGCTCGTACCGCTATACACACCACTCTAGAATCTACTGTACCGAGTGCCGCTGTGTGCGCGCACGGACACACGCTGCAATGTACCAACCGTATCCACGATCGCTTTGTTTATGCCGTACCAACACTTTCGGTGCCTTTTCTCTTCACGCTCGTGTCACTCCATCCTTCTTCCGCCGATTCTTGCCTCCTCTCCACGGGTTGAGGGTCATTCGTGCACTTAGGTGCACGCGGAATTCCGCCTCGAAGTCCTGGTACGTGAGAACTCGCCTTCTACGCTCGGCTTCAACGTAGGCTTCCTTTCGATAAGGGCGGTCGTACGGGCACGAGCCTCCCACCGCTCCTTTTCGACCAAATTCGATTCTCCAAATTTTCAAAGCAACTTCCTCAAATTCTACGTCCATATACTTTAGTATTTATTGCCGAATCTATGCACTTTTTCTCCTAGTATCGCGGATCTCGATCGTCGCCGTTTCTACCGATCGAAAATTGCGCTTTCGGCTGGTACGATCGCATGTAGAAATTTCATTCTTCGATCGAGGTCGCGAACAATATCTCGAGCAGCGATACGCGGTATCTAGGGAAGAAATAACGGTGCGTTTATTGGTACAGTAACTTGTCGAGAGGAAATCGTACGATAAGTCATCGCGTACGCGTATCCGAAGCTTCAATTAAACGATCGTACGACTCGGCGATAATGGCGTTTCGCTAAATGACGGGTTCACGGCTGTTACCGCCGCTTTTCTCCCCTTTTTCTTATTGCTGCTGTATATATCAGTGATTTGTTGCTTCGAATATTTTCGATGTCACGAGGAGAAAAATAAAATTAACGCGACCCGTTGTCCCCCTGACTTTTTACGATTGATAAACGAAGAGCCGTAAACGAGGCGTTACTCGAAATTAATCACCGACGCTTCTAACAGTGGCCATCTGTGTTCGAACGCATTCCTCGCGAAATAGGCTATCGTCTCGGCTTCAAGGTTTCCTCGAAGCTCGTGCATTCCATCGAAATTTATTTTTCAAACAATTATTCGCTACGCGAGAATCCGTTCTCCGCAGAGACGCGAGATTCCTCTCGGCGTCGTCTTCGCTTTCGGTACACGCGTCTTTCTACCCGTTCCACCACCTCCTCGATTCTTACGTTCCTGGATATATCCCTACCACCGACCAGATCATCTCCTCTCGCTCTCTATCCCTCCCTACTCGCTATACTTGTACTTCCGGCCGCGAGGCTAGCGCGAAATTCTCGCAAAATAAACGGGAGTCACGGACTCCCTGGATAACTTTCGATCCTCCGCCTCTCTTTATATTCTCTTGCTCTCCCTCTTTTTTTCGCGCGTATTTTTAACTATCGACTCGTTACCGCCTGCTTCACCTAAACTTCCTGGCACCGCTGTCAAGGAAGCCGAGTCGGCGAGAACGTCAAGAAACCCACTTGTTTGCCCGTCTTTTACTTTCGCGAATTCTCCTTTTCGCGCGCCAACTTCCTAAATCGTTCGTTTCGCCTTATCTACTTTTTCACCCCGATTCGAGTATTCTCTTAGTAATCGTTATCGTTATTCATTTTTTGTTCCTACATTTGTTTCTCAACCTTAGCGAACGTCTCGATCGTCGTGTAACGTTGCGAGTTACCCAACGTTGATAACGAAAAAAATACATCGAATGTTACTCGTTAGTGGTATCGATAAGTCGGTGCGATATCCAAGGGTCTCGATTCCCGCGTACACGAAAATGTTTTGTTAAAAAAACTCGAACGGTTTAGTATTTTCGCTAATGCGGAGTTGTACGTCCGCGAGACAAGGTCACGATTGTCCCGATAACCGACGTTGAAAAGTAGACTCGGCTAGTCGTTAAGAGCAAAACGGTAAAATTGAATCGATTCTCGTGGAACGTACGACACGTCGCTGTTGGATCTCGTAACAGTTTCCTCGAACGAGGTTTCTATCGCGCGAGCGTTCGAGCGTCAATAGAAAATCGTCATAGAGTAGTAGGTCTGGTGTGTCTATGCAGGAGAGGCATCGCGTCGTTCTATCGCATGCGTCACGAAACAGTCGCGTATATACGCGATGCATCGTCTCTAGCGGTGTTCCTTCGCTATACACGACGTCCGTGGTATAGGTCAGTGAAGTAGTAGCTCCCCACCAGGCGCCTCCTAGACAACGGGTCTACGATTGACTCATCTAGCCAGTCATACGGCGCGTAAACACGATCCGCTCCAGCTGTTCTCTCCGCTCTTTTACTCTCGATCCTCGTTCCGTCTCTCTTCCCCTTTTCTCGCGTTCTCTTTCTCTCTTTTTCCTTTCCTCTTGCCCTCTCCCTCTTTCGCTCTCTTTCTCCTTCTCGTTCTCTACGCTCTACGAGTTGTACGCGGATCCTGAGAACAACGGGGCGTTCTCTTTATTTTTAGAGGCACCTCGAGAATTCGGTTCCTTGCCTCCCCATCTTTTTGTCCGCCTCTTTTCTTTTTCTTTTTCAACCTTCCCTCTCTGGCACCGGCTCGGAAGCGGAGGAAAGCTTCGCGAATAGAGAGGACTCGTTGAACCGCGCGCGCCTCCACGGAACTACGGAGAACGACGCTGAGCAAAAGAGAGGTGGAGCAGGAGGAGAGAAGGCAGAACGAGTTCCGATTTTAGCGCAGTCGCGGCGGCCTCAGAACGAGCGGCGCTATTATGCACTAGTAGCTTGATGGCGTCACCCGTGCAACCTTGGCTCGGGTCAGTCCTCTATCATACACTGCAGCCAGAGTTCCCCTACCCCTTTTACTTTTGCCCTCCCTTTTCGCGTTACCTCTCTCTCCACTTCAACGTGCGCTGCTCCTTCTTACTCCTATTCTCCTCTTCTTCTTCTTCTCTTCTCTTCATTTGGCTCCGCTTAACCCTCTCCTCCTCGTCTCTCTCGCGATTGACCACCTCTTCTTCTTCTTTGCGCGCACACACGGCACTGGCCACACGACCAGTGGCGTAAGAATACTTTCTATTTCGAGGCATCCCGGGAGTTCCTTCCTTTCGCAGAAGCCGGAGAACGATTCCACGACGAAATTTTAATCGAGCTTAGAATGTACGTGTTCGGAAGGGCGCCGAGAGGAAATGCACGCCGCCGAAGGAACGCGGAGACGCTCTGATCGATAATTCGTTCTTACGAATCATAAATTTGGTCCGATATTTCTGTTTGCGAATTATGCGTCATCTTTAACTCTCGATTCTCGATTCGAAACGTCCTGGCGTATTTTTTAAATCCTCAAATTTCCCCATCGCGCTAACTCGTGAATCTCATTGCGGTAGATCTTCGAATTCCTAAAACCTGAAAATATTTGATCGAGAGAAGTCGCGTTTGTTTTCGAGTAGGAAAAACAACGACGTACGTCGGAAAAAGCCTTACCACTCTTGCCGCTCTGATATGCCGGAGAACTATCTCGAAAGTCACCACCCGACAGATCGCAACGCGTTTTACGTCGAAGAAAAACGCTAGAATCTATCGGAACAAGAACAACTGTCTCTGCATCTGTTCAGTAGAATGGATCCTTCTTTAGTCAGACTCTTTCGCTCGATCAGAAAAATGATCTCGCATGTAACGGAACTCCAGCCGTTAAATCCAACATTTCAGTGATTTGTAAATGTTAAGTGGAAATGGAAGGTTGAAACGTTGATATAAGGAATAAATTAATTCGTCCATCTTAGATTAGAGGATGCGTCGCGCGTAACTTTCTTGTAACACAGTTGACGATATCAACCGAGGATTAAAAACATCAAATTTCCGGTATTAGCAAGTAGTATAATCAAATGACACAAATGAACGAAGGTGGCTCGTTAAATAAACTTGAATTAATACGAGCGTTCAAAAAACTGGTTCGTCTCTCGTTAAATTTGATTCTTTCGCAGGCAACTAGTGCACTCTCTTTCCAGTGGCGAAAAGAATGTAATAACCGGATTTACCCTGCAATTAAATCGATGCCAATCTACGTTACCTCCTACCGATAATCAGCACGCGGTGCTGCCATCTGACCAAGATCTCGTAAACCCAGTACTCTAGCGTCGAGCTTCAACTTCGAATTCCCTTTAATTAACATATCGTAACTTTTATTGTGCAATTAACTGATCGTTCTTTATCTACATCTCGATTTTTTTTTTTTGCTTGCAGTGTCCGAAAGCTATAGCAGTTACGTGAATTCGATGTACGCCACTGGGAGCCAGTTCGCGGCTCCGTGCACTCCGAGTCCGCCCCGAGGGCCCGGTGGAGTTCCAACGAGCGTGATCCAAGCAGCTACCAGCTCGGTATCCGACGATCTGTACCTCCTAGAGTTAGGCTTTCCTCCGCGATCGAAAAAGAACAAACTGAAGAAACCCCGACAAGGCGAGGGCGCCGCGGTGAAGAGGAAATCCCGCGAGGGTTCGACGACGTACCTTTGGGAGTTTCTGTTGAAACTGCTCCAGGACCGAGAGTACTGTCCTCGATACATCAAGTGGACGAACCGCGAACGAGGCGTATTCAAACTGGTCGACAGCAAAGCGGTATCTCGTCTGTGGGGTCTGCACAAGAACAAACCGGACATGAACTATGAAACGATGGGCCGAGCCCTTCGTTATTATTACCAGCGCGGTATCCTGGCGAAGGTCGACGGACAGAGGCTGGTCTATCAGTTTGTCGACGTGCCGAAAGATATTATAGAAATCGACTGTACCGGCGCGTGAGACAGGGCTCGACCTTCGAGGGAACGACACGAGAGAAGGCGAGCTGTACGGGAAAAGAATGATTCGCGTGTTCGTGCTGCAATCATACCAAGCAACTCTTCCTGCCACTACGTGTCGATTTGGCACACCCCTCAGACGATCTAAAGCATATGCCCTCTCTCTGACTTCGTTTGTTCCTTGTATTATCGTATACGCACTGGTCCCTCGATCGCGTTCAAAACGTACATTTTGCGGGGTTCGTGTATAATATCGTATAGGTATGTACGGGTAGCTATAAATATTTCTAAACGTTTCAAACTTTACACGTTCCGAGTTTGAAACATTCCAAGTTTGGAACGTTCCTGATTTGGAAGCGTTTACAGTCTCGAACGTTTTGAGGTTGAGGCGTTCCAAATTCGAAGCGTTTCGTTCTTGACCGAATAACGCGGAAACTGCAGGAATCGAAGGACCATTGTATATCTACGGGAATATGTATATTAACGAATATAAAAGGAAACAAAACGCACGAACGCTGCCGCGAGAGGATGAATGTTTTGGTTTTGTCGATGCGACAGCTACCACGGTATAATAATTCGTTCACCGTAATTTCGTCCTTCTTTGGTCTTTCTTTTTTTGTTACTTTTTTGACGGTGTACGTCCGATAGTAATCGTACTAAGCTTTACAACGTTTAATATATATATATATATTATATATATATGTATTAACATACGAAGAAGGAAAGATATAAATAAATGAATATATATATATATGCGTTGAGCTCGTTCAAATTTGTACAAAATTTAGTTCTTAAAGATAAACGATGCTACGGCACAAGTGTTATTAAATGTATTTTAAATCGAGCGGAAATGATAAAGGAAAAGATGAATCTAGTATGGACAAATTACTTAACCTATAGTCGGAATATAGGCGAACAATTGTACATTGAACAGCGCGATAAATTATTTATTGTATATTAGATGATTATATATGTTACCTAGAACAAAAAAAGAAATTGTTATATATGTGTCGACGAAGAGATGTACGGACAAGAACAGTGGATGTGTAGAACTTTACACATTTGCGAACGTGGAAAGTTTAGGAAAAAAAAAACGAAACGAAATGAGGGCTGTGAAAAGATTCAGAAAGGAGGAAATATGATAGAGCGGAAACGACAAAGATGTTTTAAACAAAAAATGTTTTATGGAGCGAGCTCAGGGAGAGGTACAACATATTTATACAGACATGCACATACATGTTACACTCACGAACACACATTGACACACGATACACGTTATATTTTTTTAAATGTAAGCAATGAAAAAAGGGCGACTCTTCTATTTGAGCTGAGGGTTCAACAACGTAAGGTGCTGGCTATACACAAGAGGTCCAAGAATGTTATTTAGCAAGCTAGTGTTACTAATTCATTAAAAGAAAAAAAAAAGATTATTGAGAAGCAGACATTATATCTCTGTATATATAAAAATACACCTTTAGTATATATATATTATTGAATATTATATATATATTATATGAATATATATTGTATGTTATGTAGTAAATGGAGCGAGTTAAATGTGTCTCTATGAGATTTTTCCGTCACGTCGGCGTATCAAGGAAGTTGTACAACCGTCTTCGTACGATGTCTCTATTCGAGTCCTTTCTTTTTGTAAAAATGAACGTACGTTCCCGTTTTTTATTGTAGTTATACGCGACGGGATTAAACAACGAGAAAAAGTTTCGACTGTTTCTCTCGATCACGCGTCCCGATACAAAACGCACACTCTAGCGTGGTCTTTCGTGCTCATCCGAATTTGGGACATCGTACTTTTTAAACGTTAGGATATATTAGCCTTCCTGGCACACGGGGCGTTCGAACACGATAAGTTAGAGTGAAATTTAATTTATTGAACTGCCCCCAACCTCTCAAACTCCCCCCGTTTCCCCAAAGGACGTGACGTGCGAGTGCAAGCGTATCCTATATAGTAATAAGTTTTTGTACATAGAAATTCGTTGAAAGCATATTTAGGAAGAACATATTACGCTGGTTATCGTTGGGGAAGAAAAGAGAAAGCAAAAGAGAAACAAAGAATAAGGGGAGCCAGCGGCACCTCTGAGGTGCCGGGGTGCTCTTGGTTAGACACGTGGTTCTTCTTCACGACGATCACCTCCAAACACCTCGACGAAGAAAGAAAATACAATAAATAATAGATAAAAAACGATCAAGTGCTGCCAATAATGCCTGTAAACGGTCCCTTGCATTTGTTTTTGCCACTGAAAGAAAGGAAAATAATACAAAGAGTATAAAAGAAATGTCTGATAAAACGTATAAAGAAATGTCTTGGGACGCCAGACATACCGATGATACAAAGCGAATTGCCTTCTCTCGTAATTAACAAAGACGTGTTGCCTTCTAACAAAGAAAACATATAAGAACTTCTAGCAATTTGTATTGTAATACCATCGATTTTGTCCAGGTACTTAAAAAAAAAAAGAGACCATTAATAACCCTGTATCTCCCATCGCCCTCTCACTGTCCCCCCAACTGTCCCTCCACCCATTTTATCGACATAGAATTTTGTAACTTTTGTCAAGAGAAAACATATATATATATATATACATATACATATAATGAAAAAAGAGTAAAAAAAAAGTTGAGAAACATTTTTGGTACACGAAGACTTTTTTCATATCGCACTTTGCATACACGTATCGGATAAAGAAAGAAAAATTACGTTTAGAAAAATATTGATAAGAGAAAGGACGAAAAGTAATACATCAGAGTACAATGGACAAAAAAGAAAGCAAGTACCTATATAAAATAGTACCACTTCTATACGTAACAACCACTTATAAACAATGAATGGACACTGCAACAATAAATCCTATTTTTAGGTGAATTAAATTTACATATACATAACAATTGACTACGCTACAAGATATTTTAACAGATAAGACTTTACTGTAATAGAGATAAATCTATAATTATTTACCTGTAAAATAATACGAAGACACGATGGATTGACGTAAGGAACTCTAATGTAACGTTCTGTGATTCGTTGTTTGTAGGTGAAATTTAATAAAAGATTACTGTATCATAATGCTGCTGTTATTGTCCCTTCTTCCCCCCTTATTTTGTCTCTAATAATTAAGAATATTAAGAGGGTTTCGAACTTTTGAAATTTCCGCTTACATCGGGTGGTTCGAAAATTATCGGTCTAATTCTTCGATACGTGGGTGCTTCGACTACTTTTCCTTCAATTATTTTCTTTGTAAAAAATTACTGCGCATGTATATCTTTTATCGTTTAGGACTGCGCAGGGGGTCAAGGTTAACTGATTAAATCCCCGTGCACAGCACAGCCGTTCCACAAGTTAGTAATCAAATGATTAAACAATAAGTTTAATTAAGTTATGCACTGTATGAAAAGTGGTGAAAATAAAGAAAAATTTATCAACAATCGTTGTGTATTTATTTTACCCTCCAAAACCCAACAGAATAAAAATTTACATATTTGAAAGAGAGAATTTGTATCAAAAGAACATGAGAATTCCTAGAATTTGACGTCACTAAAATTCCAAGAAGTAGCATGATAGATACCTCTTCATAACTTATGTTCTTCTGATACAAATTTTCAAAATCGGTCGGCGAAATTTCAAAAATCGCGCCTCGGGAATTCCTGGAAATGACGTCATCAAAATTCCTAGAAGTGGCACGAAGGATACCTCCGCATAACTCATGTTCTCCTGATACAAATTTTCAAAATTGGACTATGAAATTTCAAAAATCGCGCCCGGGAATTCTTGGAAATGACGTCATCAAAATTCCAAGAAGTGGCACAAAGGATACCTCCTCATTACTTATGTTCTCCTGATACACATTTCCAAAATCAGACTGTGGAATTTCAAAATTCGTGCCCGGGAATTCTAGGAATTTGACGTCATCAAAATTCCAAGAAGTGGCACAAAGGATACCTCCTCATTACTTATGTTCTCCTGATACAAATTTCCAAAATCAGACTGTGGAATTTCAAAATTCGTGCCCGGGAATTCTAGGAATTTGACGTCATCAAAATTCCAACAAGTGGCACGAAGGATACCTCCTCACAACTCATGTTCTCCTGATACAAATTTTCAAAATCGGCCTGTGGAATTTCATAAACCGCGTCTGGGAATTCTTGGAAATGACGTCATCAAAATTCCAAGAAATGGCACGAAGGATACCTCCTCATTACTTATGTTCTCCTGATACAAATTTCCAAAATCGATCTGTGGAATTTCAAAACTCGCGCCCGGGAATTCTTGGAAATGACGTCATCAAAATTCCAAGAAATGGCACGAAGGATACCTCCTCGCAACTTATGTTCTCCTGATAGAAATTTTCAAAATCGGCCTGTGGAATTTCATAAATCGCGTCTGGGTATTCTTGGAAATGACGTCATCAAAATTCCAAGAAGTGGCACGAAGGATACCTCCTCATTACTCATGTTCTCCTGGTACAAATTCTCAGTATTTTGTTTTTTATTTTTATTTTTTTAAATTTGGGGCAATTTTGGGGATTGGAATGACGGGATTTATAAATAAATAAATACGCAAATACATGTTTTTATTTATATTTATTTTCAAACTCTTTTGTACATCAAATGAGTTAACATATGTTACTAATAGATAGATACATTATTAACACTTAATTCTAGGACGGAATTATCATAATAATATGTACATATTAGTGTGCGTTGTAGTACAGGACATAATAAGACAATAGTACATAAATCGGGCGATTGCTTTCTTGGGCTGTATTAAATGCCGTTTGCATTAGGCTATTTTGACATGTACTCGCCTAATCTGAACGCTCACTTATGCGAACTCGGCGCAGCGCCGTCTAGCGGTGAAACGCGGAACTTTAATTAAATGACGTTCACATTAGGCTATTTTGATCGGTATTTGCCTAATCTGAACGCCCCTATATGCACGGCCAGCGTAGCGCCATCTAGCAGTGACATTCGGAACTGCAATAGTAATTTCGCTGATGGTATAATACCGTTAAAGTGTAATCAATTAATTACCGACAGAATCCGGTCGGTAACAAAATCTGTAATCAAACCTAAATTCAAGAACACGTGTTAAAACCAAATTTAGAATCAAGTCCAATAAAGTCAGTTATTTTGCAAAGTTATTAATTTATTCATTATTAAAATATAGGAAGAAAATTCCTGTGTAAACCGTACATGTAGCGTCATCTAGCGGTAGAATATGCGAACTAATGAAAACCGTGTTCCTGCCGAGTGTAGTTCACCCTGTCCGCCGGTCAGATGGCGCCACTTGTCTTCGAAAAATTAAAATTGCTCCAATTTAAAAACTAAATACATCATCATTACGAGTGGGCAATTTGACTTTTTTGGGTTAATCCTCTTTGTAAAAAAATTACTGTGCATGTCTATCTTCTATGGTTTAGGACTGCGCAGGGAGTCAAGATTAACTGATTAATACCCTGTACATAACATGGAACGTTCCACTAGTAAATGTAATGAATATAATTACAATTCATTAGATAAAACGAAGTATTTCGTCACAGATCTCTTAAGTCGAATTTTTCTGTTTTTCACACGAAAAGATAACATCTTTCAGATAACGTATGTTTAGTGACTGCTAATTCATTTTTGGAAGCTTATTAAAGCGATTACACCGCAATGACGTAATACTTATATATAAAAGTGATTGATAAAAAGAGCACTTTAAGGAGAGAATTCTATTGGCTCTATGGATAACCATCTGACCAATCAGCGACACGGTTCTAACAGAAAGTAGTTTACTGACTTACTATACACGTAGGTAAGTAGTTCCGTCATTCTTGTCCCGCAGTCCGTATCGAACCACGGCAATCGTTGCATGTTACTTTACGCGATCAATCTTGGAAAATTGTGCGAGGTACGTGACGTTTTTGTATTGTTTGAGATCAAAATAATTGAACGAACAATTACAATACATTGTTATTTATTGTTAATGTCGAGAAAAGAACGTATCGTCGAGATTTAATTATTGATTTCATTGTAATAGACAACTATAGCCACACCCCGTGGCCATTTTGGACAGCAGAAAGTTGTTCTTAAACGGCGAACGATAAACGCTGTATAAAATGGATCAGATTACGCCGAAGGAAGTGGAAATTCTGGAGAATCCTGAGGACATTCAAGAACGACGAGAACAAGTCCTCAGTCGATATGCAAATTTCAAAGCGGAAGCACGTAATAAGAGAGACAAACTCGAGGACTCCCGTCGCTTTCAGGTACATTTATCGATTGTTTACTCTTGCCATTTATATTTTTATGATCATTGACAAAATTCCTGCTGTCTGTAGTACTTTAAGCGAGATGCGGACGAACTCGAAGGATGGATTTATGAAAAGCTGCAAGCTGCTTCTGACGAGAGTTACAAAGATCCCACGAATTTACAAGCAAAAATACAGAAACATCAAGCATTCGAAGCAGAAGTCTCGGCTCATTCAAATGCTATAGTTTCACTGGACAATACTGGTTCAGAAATGATAGCTCAACATCACTTTGCAAGCGATATCATTCGTAAAAGATTGGGTATGTCATAATTGCAATGCAATATTATTTGTAGTTAGTAAGACTTTACTTATGCACCATTTATTTTACAGAGGATCTTCATCGGCTATGGGAACTACTGCTCTCTAGATTAGCAGACAAAGGTCTCAAATTGCAACAAGCACTGGTTCTTGTGCAATTTATTCGATACTGTGACGAAGTGATGTTTTGGATCCACGATAAAGAAGCATTCGTAACCACCGATGAATTTGGGCATGACTTGGAACATGTTGAAGTGTTGCAAAGAAAATTCGACGAATTCCAAAAGGATATGGCTAGTCAAGAATACAGAGTGACAGAAGTAAATGAGCTGGCAGACAAACTTCTGTTAGATGGACATCCTGAACGAGACACCATTCTACGTAGGAAAGAGGAACTCAATGACTCTTGGCAAAGATTGAAACAACTTGCTGTTTTGAGACAAGAGAAGCTTTTTGGTGCACACGAAATTCAAAGATTCAATCGTGATGCCGACGAAACGATGGCTTGGATCGCGGAAAAAGACGTCGTCCTGTCTTCGGACGATTTTGGACGTGATTTAGCGAGTGTACAAACTTTGCAAAGGAAGCACGAAGGCATAGAACGCGATTTGGCAGCATTAGAAGATAAAGTTTATACACTGGGAGCCGAAGCAGATCGTCTGGCAGCTATTCATCAAGCGGATCATTCGAAACAAATTCAAGCTAAACGCGCCGAAATCCTGCAATCGTGGGAAAGCCTTACTGCAAAAGCAAAAGAACGACGTCTAAAGCTTGACGAGTCCTACTATTTGCACAGATTTTTAGCCGATTACAGAGATCTCGTTTCGTGGATGAATGACATGCGTGCAATTATATCTGCAGACGAATTAGCTAAAGATGTAGCTGGCGCAGAAGCTCTTGTTGAAAGGCATCAAGAACACAAGGGAGAAATCGACGCTAGAGCTGACAGTTTCGATGCGACTACATTGGCTGGCAACAAACTTCTGGAAAAGAAACATTACGCTGCGGAAGAAGTAACCAGAAAATTAAATTCTTTGGCAGAGGATAAACAGTCTCTTTTGAGTCTCTGGGAGAAAAGGAAGATTCTATACGAACAGTGTATGGACTTGCAGTTATTCTACAGAGACACGGAACAAGCAGATGCATGGATGGCTAAACAAGAAGCGTTCTTGGCCAACGAGGATCTAGGAGATTCTCTCGATAGCGTGGAAGCTTTAATCAAGAAGCACGAGGACTTCGACAAGTCCTTAGCTGCTCAAGAAGAGAAGATCAAGGTCTTGGACGATTTCGCCGGCAAATTGATAGAAGGAGAACATTACGCTGCGGATGACGTAGCACAGAGACGTCAGCTTCTGTTGGAAAGACGCGCCGTGCTTCTTGAAAAATCTGCTCAGAGAAGACGTCTTCTGGAGGATGCCTATAAACTACAACAGTTTGAACGCGACTGCGACGAAACAAAGGGATGGGTTAACGAGAAACTGAAGTTCGCCACCGACGATAGCTACCTAGATCCCACCAATCTGAACGGTAAGGTGCAGAAACATCAAAACTTCGAACAAGAGTTAAACGCCAACAAGACTCGTATGGAGGAAATGGTAGCAACCGGCCAGGAATTGATCAAAAGTGGTCATTACGCCAGTGATCGAATTCGTACCCGTACAGACGAGATTATGTCTCTGTGGGAAAGTCTGACACATGCTACCGAGAAGAAGGGCGCGAAATTGCAAGAAGCTTCACAGCAACAGCAGTTCAATCGCACCGTTGAGGACATCGAGTTATGGTTGTCGGAAGTGGAAGGACAACTAATGTCCGAAGACTACGGCAAAGACTTAACCAGCGTCCAAAATCTTCAGAAGAAACACGCCCTCCTGGAAGCGGATGTTGCATCTCATTCAGACAGAATCGAAAGCATCGCTCAGGCTGCCGAACAGTTTGTAAAGTCGGGTCACTTCGACGCGGATAACATCAAGGCCAAACAAGATCAGTTGCAGTCGCGTTACGCTGCTTTGCAACGGCCAATGAGCATTCGTAAGCAACGACTTCTCGATTCTCTGCAGGTGCAGCAACTGTTCAGGGACATCGAGGATGAGGAAGCCTGGATTCGTGAGAAGGAACCAGTTGCCGCTTCCACCAATCGTGGTCGTGATCTGATCGGCGTGCAAAATCTGCAGAAGAAACATCAAGCTGTACTAGCGGAAATCAACAATCACGAGCCACGCGTGGCCGCCGTCTGCCAGGCAGGTGCATCCATGCTGCAAGAGAGCCATTTCGCTGCAGAAGAGATCAGCCAACGATTGGCGGCGTTGGATGAACATTGGGGTCAACTGAAAGAGAAAGCTCGACAGCGCAAGAATGATCTGGACGATTCTCTCCAAGCGCATCAGTACTTCGCTGACGCCAATGAGGCAGAGTCCTGGATGAAGGAGAAGCGTCCCATTGTTATGAACGCTGATTATGGAAAAGACGAAGACAGTTCTGAAGCTCTTCTAAAGAAACACGAAGCTTTGGTCAGCGATCTGGAGGCGTTTGCTAGCACCATAGCTGCGCTCAAGGAACAGGCTGCATCCTGTCGCCAACAAGAGACACCAACCATCGACATCACTGGTAAGGAATGCGTCGTTGCTCTTTACGACTACACGGAGAAGTCACCGCGAGAAGTATCGATGAAGAAAGGCGATACCCTGACTCTCCTGAACTCCAACAATAAGGACTGGTGGAAGGTCGAAGTAAACGACCGTCAAGGGTTCGTTCCAGCCGCTTATGTAAAGCGTGTTGAGCCTGAAGCTGGATTAAGCGCGTCTCAACAAAACTTGGCCAGAGAGCAGAGTTCTATCGCGGCTAGACAAGCGCAAATCGAAGCCCAGTACGATGATCTTCTGCGATTGGCCCGGGAACGACAGAACAAGTTGAACGAAACCGCCAAGGCTTACGTACTCGTTAGAGAAGCGGCAGAATTGGCCACCTGGATCAAGGATAAAGAGAACCATGCGCAGGTGCAGGACGTTGGTGAAGATTTGGAGCAGGTAGAAGTGATGCAGAAGAAGTTCGACGATTTCCAGGCTGATCTGAAGGCTAACGAGGTGAGACTGGCGGAAATGAACGAGATCGCCGTGCAGTTGATGAGTCTCGGTCAGACGGAGGCAGCGCTGAAGATCCAGACGCAGATTCAGGACTTGAACGAGAAGTGGACCAGTTTGCAAACTCTTACTGCCGAACGTGCTAATCAGCTGGGTTCGGCTCACGAGGTACAACGTTTCCATCGCGACGTTGACGAGACAAAGGACTGGATCAGGGAAAAGGATGCTGCGTTGAATAACGATGACCTTGGAAAAGATCTACGCAGCGTGCAGGCCTTACAACGCAAACACGAGGGTCTCGAAAGAGATTTGGCTGCATTAGGAGACAAGATAAAACAGCTGGACGAGACGGCCAATCGCTTGATGCAGTCGCATCCTGAAACGGCCGAGCAGACTTACGCCAAGCAGAAAGAGATCAACGAGGAATGGACCCAGTTAACCGCGAAGGCTAATAGCAGAAAGGAGAAACTGTTGGATTCTTATGACCTGCAGCGATTCCTCAGCGATTACCGAGATCTAATGGCTTGGATAAACTCGATGATGGGTCTGGTCGCTTCTGAGGAATTAGCTTCCGACGTGACAGGAGCGGAAGCTCTCTTGGAACGTCATCAGGTGAGTCGATCGATTCAACGAGCGATCATTGAACTGGCCCCAATAATCTGAACACGGTCGTTCACGAATAATTTGAATTGTAGAATCACAGAGCCGAGATAGATGCGCGATACGGCATTCTTCCAGAGGTATCATAGTGTTTGGAGCATGAGAAAAATGTGCGACTTTGCCTCTGAATATTATACTCATATTCATTGGCGCAATTTGGGCTACTGAGTGGAGTGAGCCAGGACCCACAGTTTTATTAATAGCTTTCGAAGATTTGACAATTTTTAATTTAGAAATTTGGAAATTCGAAAATTTCTAAATTTCTAAACGCTGGTTCAAGTTGCGTGAGGCCAGGCTCACTCTGGTATCCACCTGATTACGCCAATGCTCATATTACGATTAATCACTCGATAGATTTTGTTGTTGTTGTTGTTGTTATTGGTGATACTTTTTTATGAGGAAAAACACACAGATTGGCGAGTCAATGTTTTGCAACAAAGATATACCGCCTATTAACGCCTGGAACATTTTCAATGCTTCTTATAGTGTATTCGCTGCCTTCTTCGCTTATCGTAGTGTCTATTGTCGAGTGGATTTGAAGTACATATATGCAGAAAGCAATAGTTGTAGATCTACGTTTCATTCGATTGACCATTATGTTGCAGGAACATCGAACAGAGATCGACGCTCGAGCAGGCACCTTCCAAGCGTTCGAATTGTTCGGTCAGCAGCTATTGCAGTCCAGTCATTATGCCAGCGTCGAGATCCAAGAAAAGCTGGAATCCATGACGGAGGCACGCCAAGAGTTGGAGAAGGCCTGGATAGAACGACGTATGCAACTCGATCAGAATCTCGAGTTGCAGCTGTTCTGCAGAGACTGCGAGCAAGCCGAAAACTGGATGAGCGCCCGAGAAGCTTTCTTGAACAGCGCGGATACCGTGGACAGTAGCGACAACGTGGAGGCCTTGATCAAGAAGCACGAGGACTTTGATAAAGCCATCAACGCGCACGAGGAGAAGATAGCTACGTTGCAAACGTTGGCAGATCAGCTAATCGCTGCAGAACATTACGCGGCGAAGCCAATTGACGAGAGACGTTGCCACGTTTTAGACCGCTGGAAGCACCTGAAAGATGCTCTCATCGAAAAACGCTCGAAACTTGGAGAGTCCCAGACTCTGCAACAATTCTCGCGTGACGCCGACGAAATGGAAAATTGGATCGCCGAGAAACTGCAACTGGCTACCGAGGAGAACTACAAAGATCCAGCAAACATTCAGTCCAAACATCAGAAACATCAAGCGTTCGAAGCCGAACTGGCAGCGAACGCTGACAGAATTCAATCTGTGCTCGCCATGGGAGGGAATTTGATCGATAAGCACCAATGTGCCGGTTCCGAGGACGCGGTTCAAAAGAGACTAGCCTCGATTGCTGATCAGTGGGAATATTTGACCCAGAAGACGACGGAGAAGTCCATGAAATTGAAAGAGGCCAACAAACAACGCACCTATATCGCTGCAGTTAAAGATCTTGATTTCTGGCTGGGAGAAGTTGAAAGTCTGCTTACCTCCGAAGACGCGGGTAAAGATTTAGCTTCCGTGCAAAACTTGATGAAGAAACATCAGCTGGTCGAAGCGGATATCCAGGCACACGAAGAAAGGATCAAGGACATGAATGCCCAGGCGGATTCTTTAATAGAGAGCGGACAATTCGACGCGGCCGGCATTCAAGAAAAACGGCAAAGTATCAACGAACGTTACGAAAGAATTCGCAACCTTGCTGCTCACAGGCAAGCCAGGCTCAACGAAGCGAACACCTTGCATCAATTCTTCAGAGACATCGCCGACGAAGAGTCTTGGATTAAAGAGAAGAAGCTGTTGGTAGGTTCGGACGATTATGGCCGCGACCTTACCGGTGTACAGAACCTGAAAAAGAAACACAAAAGATTAGAGGCAGAACTAGGAAGCCATGAACCTGCTATACAGGCTGTTCAAGAAGCGGGAGAAAAGCTGATGGATGTTTCCAACCTGGGTGTTCCGGAGATCGAGCAACGTCTGAAGCTCTTGAACCAGGCGTGGGCCGAGTTAAAACAATTGGCTGCGAACAGAGGACAGAAATTAGACGAATCGTTAACGTATCAACAGTTCCTCGCCAAAGTTGAAGAGGAAGAAGCTTGGATTACGGAGAAACAGCAATTACTTTCGGTCGAGGACTATGGCGACACCATGGCTGCTGTTCAGGGATTACTGAAGAAACACGATGCTTTTGAGACCGATTTTGCTGCCCATGGTGAACGCTGCAAGGATATCTGTAAAGCTGGCGAAGCTCTGATTCAAGCCGGAAACCACCGTGCGGACGCCATAGGTCAAAGATGTGCTCAGCTTCGCAATAAACTGGAACAACTTGGCGCCCTTGCAGCCAGAAGGAAAGCTCGACTCAACGATAACTCGGCTTATCTTCAATTCATGTGGAAAGCTGACGTTGTGGAGTCTTGGATCGCTGACAAAGAGACCCACGTACGCTCTGAAGAATTTGGCCGCGACTTGTCCACCGTTCAAACGTTGTTGACCAAACAGGAAACCTTCGACGCTGGATTGCACGCCTTCGAACACGAGGGAATACAGAATATCACATCCTTAAAGGAGATGTTGGTAGATTCTGGACACGATCAAACTCCTAGTATTCAGAAACGTCACGCGGATGTCATTGCTCGTTGGCAGAAACTTTTGGCAGATTCTGATGCTCGTAAACAACGTTTGCTTAGAATGCAAGATCAGTTCAGGCAGATCGAAGAGTTGTATCTGACGTTCGCCAAAAAGGCATCCGCTTTCAACTCGTGGTTCGAGAACGCGGAAGAGGATTTGACAGACCCTGTTCGGTGCAACAGCATCGAGGAGATCCGAGCTCTTCGAGAAGCACATGCACAATTCCAAGCAAGCTTATCTTCCGCTGAAGCAGATTTCGAGGCACTCTCTGCGCTTGACAGACAGATAAAAAGCTTCAACGTTGGTCCCAATCCGTACACCTGGTTCACGATGGAAGCGTTAGAAGACACCTGGCGTAATCTACAAAAAATAATCAAAGAACGCGACGTAGAGCTTGCGAAGGAAGCTCAACGACAAGAAGAGAACGACAAACTACGTAAAGAATTTGCTAAACATGCTAATGCGTTCCATCAATGGCTAGCAGAAACAAGGTATATATTTTTAATTGATTTACGTAAATTTGAGTTCGCTTAAAATTGTTCTTTTGTAGGACATCCATGATGGAAGGTTCGGGGTCGTTGGAACAACAATTGGAAGCAACGAAGGTAGGAAGAACTAAATGTTACTTGACATTTGTTAACTATGAAACAAAATAACAAACACTCGTTTACTATTTTTACAGAGAAAGACCCAGGAAGTTCGTGCACGTCGACAAGATCTAAAAAAAATCGAAGACCTGGGAGCAATTTTGGAGGAACATTTAATCTTAGACAACCGTTACACGGAACACAGTACTGTAGGATTGGCGCAACAATGGGATCAACTGGATCAATTGGGAATGCGTATGCAACACAATTTAGAGCAGCAAATACAAGCACGTAATCAGTCGGGTGTCTCTGAAGATGCTCTTAAAGAATTCTCTATGATGTTCAAACATTTCGACAAAGACAAGAGTGGTCGTCTGAATCATCAAGAATTCAAATCTTGTTTGAGAGCACTGGGCTATGATTTACCAATGGTGGAAGAGGGTCAACCTGATCCGGAATTCGAAAATATTCTTGGTTTGTAATTTATTTGCATTATTTATTTATAAGGAGCTTTTAAGAAACAATATTTGATTTATGCTTTCTGCTTCTCAGATATCGTCGATCCTAATAGAGACGGTTACGTATCGTTGCAAGAATATATGGCTTTCATGATTAGTAAGGAAACAGAGAACGTGCAGAGTTCTGAAGAAATAGAAAATGCTTTCCGCGCAATTACAGCTGCAGATCGGCCATATGTTACAAAAGAGGAATTATACGCTGTGAGTATAAAATCTTGACAGCTGTAATCGTTGAATTTTATACCTACATTCTATTTAATGCTAATGTATTTCCAGAACCTTACCAAGGAAATGGCCGATTACTGTGTAGCTCGCATGAAACCTTACGTTGACCCCAAAACGGAACGACCAATCACAGGAGCATTGGATTATATTGAATTTACTCGCACCCTTTTCCAGAATTAATTTCATAAATTATTCATTTTTTTAATACAACGGTTATTAAATTATAGCAACAGAAATATGAACGCTTACTTTACTAAACACCTTGTTACTTCAATGCGGTATATACGTATACACTGTTTTATTTATAGCATATAGTGCATCACTGATTCATCATTCTTTTTTGTATTAATATATAAACTATTCGTGAAAATAGTGAGAAATAAATTATATACTTTATGTACAAGAATATCAACAAATATATTAAATTATATTAAATTTGGTTTAATCGGAGGCGTAAACACTTTGTTCCGTTATTTCATAACAAAAGTGTTTTATGTATTCCTTCTCTTTTAAAAAAAGTTTTATTTTAATTACATATAGTATTTTATTTTAATTACATACGCGATAAAGATAAGTAGAAATATGTACAAGATATAAATACTTGTAATCTTCCTAGTATAGATAAAACGTTATTTATTTCTATTTTTACTAGGGTTTGATACAAATCTATTTAACACCCCATAATCTTTTTGAGGTTTTTCTATCTTCTTAGTATCTGGTTGAATATCAGCCTGACGAAGTATATCAATGGTTTCCTGCAACAATGATTTTTTTGTATACACAGTAGCTTACAATACTTAAAATTTACTTACCTTTTTGCTCAAATCCTTTAAAATCTTTTTAGTTTTGATTACTTTCGCCGTTCCACCTTTCCCTTTAGCTTTTGTCCTGCGAGGCTTGAAGTCGATATTTTTCGGTTTAAGATACTGCAAAGAAATTTAAACAAATATATTAGTTTACAGTAATTGTAAAATCGTATTAATTTAATCCTATTTAGACACTTACCAAGAGTTTTTTCTTTGCTTCTACTTTATCTTGTAGAGTAGGCACATCAACTTCTGTTATTGAAATTGGATCTAAAGAAATTAACTCTGGTTGAATCTTATCTAGCAGAGCCTTTACTTCGGCTTCGCGTCTTTGTTCCTTAGTCTGGAACGGATTATTTTCATAAGCATCATAATTTGCTTCTCCACTCCCAGGTACCAATAGTGAAGAAATTCCGCCTCTTGTACCAATACCTAGAACATCTTCATATGGACAGAATTGCATACTTGTTACAGGCCAACTAGGTCTATGTCGCAAATATGCTTTTGTTTCATCTTCAGAGGGTCTAGAAAACAAAAATGTATCATATGCATAACTATTAATATTATATAAATTTAGGTTATTATATTACATTTACCGATAAATTTCTACTACATTTCCCATTGACATTGCCAGGTGACCACGTTGACTGTAAGACAAACGATGAACAGCAGAACGTGTATGATAATTATGTACTGGACCTGCTAATTGTCTAATATCCCACACCTTTACATATCCACCTGCACACCCGGTTGCCATGTAAGTTCCATGTGGATGAACAGTACAGGCACTTACTGGCTGAGTGTGACATAACATTTTTGCCAATGGTTTGGTACTATTAGGAGACCACATAGAAACTACACCTTTTATGTCTCCCACACAAAGTACTGCATTACTGGGATTCTGTGTCATCACCTATGAAAAAGTGGATACTTTAAAATTTTTTTTTTGTACAAAATATTATCAAATGTTCTTATATTTACCACTATATTTCCTAATTTAGAATTAAAAGTGGATATAAATTTCCCTATAGAAATATCCAGCCATGATAAGTAACCTTGTCTAGATCCACTGGCTAGCAAAAAGTGATATGGCAAAAATTCCAGCTTATTAACTTTATACATTGATTTCAAACAATGAAGTTCAATTCCAACATTATCATATATGTATACCCAGTCCTTTTGTGCAACTGCATACATTGTTTCTACATGTAGCCATGATATATCATGCACTGATTCCATGACATTCATTTCGCATGCTAATTTTTTAGTGACCCAATCAAAAGCAGCTACATGTCCCTGTCTTCCACCTAGAAGTAAATGTCTACCATTTCTTGTATATTTTATATAATATGGTCCAAATTGTAAGTTTAATGTAAAGTGTTTAGTTGCACTGGTTATGTCTACATTGTTTGCAATTTGCGTTTGTTTATATTGTAATGTCGTTTCGCCAGGATCAGCCTCCAAACAACCATACTCTTCTGTTAAAAGCAATTCAGTCCGTGCAGTATCCTTTATCGCATTGTCAATAAGCCTCTCTTTCCTTTTCAATTTATGTTTTATTAGTTTATTCTTTATTGTAGACGTTCCTGGCTTCAAATTAATTCCAGTACCTTTATCATATTTTTCTAATTGTTCTTTGCTGATGGGTACTTTACTGTATCTTCTAAAATCTGTAAGCAATATATCTTGTGTAAATAAATTTTAAGGTACAATACTATACTACAGAATGAAAAATTATACTTCTTCGTTTCATTTTGTTTGCATCCATGGTTAAAAAACTAAATGTTTCGTTCTGTCAAAATTTTAATCAAACACGTGTAAATACAACGCCATGCTTTTTAAAAGCGATGTCCATAGATGAAATAGGTTACAGATTGTAACCAAGAGAACTAGAGAACACTAGCGTTGTAAGGACAGCGTTTACTAATTTCTAAATTTTAGGACTTCGGAGTTTTGAAAATTTGAGCTTTTGAAAATAATGTATTATAAGTAGATAAGGTGTAGAAAACTTATAAAGGTTTGGAAACAATGTCTTATTCGGTTCAAATTGTTTTCAAACTTGTTTGTATTGATGGCGCTCGAGAAGCGTTTAAGCGTAAAAAAAGGTATGACGGGTAACTCAATTTCAATCTATATGCTCAACGGTTATGCAACTACTGTGAGTGGTTGTGAATTACTTTCGTTTACTTCGTATTTAACTTGACAAGAATCCGGCAAATTTATGTTTCAATATACTTATCTGTTTATATGAAGAATAACGTAAAATAAGTAAATATGAAAACTGCGCCTGATCCAAAAGACGTCCAGGTATTACATGTTATTCTTTAAAAAGACCGTTTGAAAACAATTACGTTTTAGTTTTCTTCTTTTTAGATCATATAAAATTAAGAAAATAATGTAAATTTATAATATATTTATGTTTTCATTCACATTATACGTATTTTCTTATTGTCATGGATGTATTTTTTTTTTATATTTATAGGTTTATTATAATAAAACCTTTGTTTCAGGAATTTCAATTCAAACAGTCACATACTTCCCAAATTTTAGATGCCTTCACATCCATACCTATTGCATGCAGTTTAGTGACTGCAGATAAAAGAAGGGGATTATTATATGTAGGACAAGATGATAAAATAATTATTTTAAAACCTGGGGAAGATAGCGATCCAGAATGGAAGTTAAAGCTGAATATGCCAATACCCATATCTAAATTAATGCTTAATTGTGACTGCTCCTATTTAGCTGTGGCACCACATGGACCTTTAATTTTAATTTATGATGCACAGGCACTTATTACAAATGTACATTATTGAAAGTTTTATCTTATTTATATTTTCTACATTCTTATCAAATAATTAAAGAGATTCTAATTTCTTTTTTCAGAACTTACAATTATTATATGAAATTAGAGTTTCCTCATCTCATATGGATGCTTTTGTAAATGATCTAAGATGGAATCCTGCTGTACCAGGAATGCTGTGTACCATAGCTAGCGATTACACAATTGGTAGTTTTAAAATAAAGGAAAAGAAAGAAAAGACAATAGAGCTGAAAGCTTTAGAGAAATTTAATGATTTGGATGCTTTGTGTGCAGCATGGAGTCCAAAAGGGAAGCAAATAGTTATAGGTTGTAAAAATGGAAATATTGTACAATTTAAGCCTGATTTAAAAATAGCCAGAACAATTCCTGGACCTAATCCATATATCGGAGAAGTCATTAGTATTTTATGGATTAGTAATTATCAATTTTGTGCTGCTTATCTTGGTAGCGAACGAAAAATCAATGTTCTAATAATTGATGCTCCTAAAGGCGAGACAAACGCCATTTTCACTTGCTACGAAGATATCACATATGGAATGACAGATACAGAAGAAGAAGGAATAATTCCTCGTTATTACTTTGATCATGTACCAGAATGGGGTTTGATCATTGCTGCTAGCAGCAGCAGCAGTGAAGTAGCTGTGTTAGGATCCACAGATGGAGGAGTTACTTGGAATCAATGGCAATTGGTTGACAGTGGTAGAGCTGAATTACCATTAATCTGTACTACAGAAAGTTATCCAGTGGGTTTAGCTATTGATAAATCTCCTGTTCGGAAATTACCATGGAGTGCAGATTCAACATTACCCATTCCAGTTCCTATACTTCATATAGTTGCAACATCTGGACAGTTATGCAGCTTCCACATGGTAAATTTAATTCCTAATTGTCCTGCTATTAATTCTCCACCTATAGAAATAGTTACACCTCCTTTACCATTACAATCAAATGCTAATCTATCCGAAACGTCTATTATTATGAATGGTGTGATAACTAGTACACCTCGCCCTAAACTACCAGAAAATGTTCCTGAACGTCCTAAACCAATTCCTGCCGGAAATATTTTTGATAAATTTACCGAAGGAAATAGTTTCTTTGCACAGTCCCCAGTTGAAAAACCTAAACAACTGGAACAAAAACCTGAAACTATTAACACAGAAATGAAAATAGAACCAATTCGAGAGACTTATCCTGAAGAAGTAAAATCGGATACAAAATTAGTACCCATCAAAGAAACAGTATCACAAGAATCCGTGGAACAAAAAACATCGGTGGATGATGATAGTACAGATATTCGTGCTTATATAGAAGAACATAACTTATTTGAGAAAGAATTGCGTAATCAATTGGAACCACCGACGTGGGAATATGGTACTGAAGAAGAACGTCTAAAACTTGTCAAAACGTCTAATGAAATCGATAAGTTTCTTCGTCTATTAAGAGAAACAACGAACAGTCTATCTAGCGACATTGCATATTTAAAAGCATTGCTATTGCAGTCGTTTGCATGGGTTGAAGAAACCAAATCGAAAAATGCAGCTACTAATGATATTACAACTAGAAATTGTGGAGATAGTAATAAGATATCCGATCTGCAGAAACTTTATTATTATACTCAAACACAACTTAGCCAAGCTAGTAAAATTTTAGATTTAGGATGGTCGGATCATACGTCTCAAGAAATGTCGCGAATGAAAATTCCACATTTGGAATTCGTGTATCAAAATCTCGTATTACATGACAAAATTATACAAAAAGAAAAAAGCAATGTGGAGCAGCTTAAAAAGCAATGGAAACTAATTTCTCGTAACAACAATATATTTGGATTGAATCGTTCGTTATCTAATTTAAGTATCACGTCATCTAAATCTTCAGTTTCTCTTCCAAGAAATGCAGGAGTGATAGAAGCGCGTTGCAAGGCTATTGCTTCCAAAACTTTAAGTTTTACTCAAGAGAAACAAATAAAATTAAGAAAACATTTATCCATTTCTACTCCGACAATTATAAAACCAGTTAATCCTTCGCCAATTCAACATCGTTTGGAAGCAACTTTATCCGCTTTAGCTTCTCTTAATACAACAGTTGCTGATGCAAAGAATAAAACGGAGCAGCCTATTGTAAAACAGCCGACAACTGCTAAACCAGCTGCTGAAAAACCAAAACAACAAAGCCCTTTAGCTTCGTTAAATAGCATTGTAGCCAGAATTGGTACAAATGAAACTAGTAACGCATCGACGCAAAACAAACAACCTAGCTTTAGTAGTACTTTTCCAGCTGCACCTGGAAATAAACTTCCACAAATAGAAAAGAAGTCAACTGTACCGACAATACCTACTGTATCTCAAAGTGTTAAATCAAAGCAAGATGCTGTTACGTTTAGTCAAGTTAGCTCTTCAGCTCATACTCTACCTAATTTAATGAAATCGTTTCCTAAAGTTAACACTATTACATTCGGCACGCCAGTACAAAAATCTGAAGATGTACAAAAATCTATGCTTAAAGAATCTAATACAAAAACTGGAAAAGAAAATGTATCAAGTGATCCCTTCAAAGTAGAAAATAGTTTATTTGGTACTGGCTCATTAAAGGATGTATTATCAGAAACCACGGCAGAAAGAGTGCAAGGAATTCCTTCAAGTACCACAATAAAGTTTGGATTGCCAATGTCTGCAACAACAGCAGTAACTGCAACTGCAACAAAGACTGATGCAGCAACCACATTTAGTTTTGCTACTCCAAATACTGCTTCTGCAGTTGTAAAAAGTATGTCACAAAATGCGCTTGCTATATCACAAACAAGTGCTCAACCATTTTCTTTTGCTTCAAAGCCTACAAATACTACCGCTGCAATTAATCTAAAAATTCCATCAGTAACAACAACAGCACCTCAAACACAAGACTCGTTAAATATATCAAATTTAATTGTAGGACTTCAAACACCTAATCAGGCACAAACTATGCCTACCAGTAATGTTAATACCGAAGGAAAGTACAATTACAAACCCACATTTGGAACATCTAACTTTCAAATGTTGTTGGGGCAACATGCATTGGCTACCACTCAGATCTCTATAAGTCTTGTAAGTGGAACTCTTCCGAAAGATACAGTTACAACTGCATCTTCAGTAACGATTGAGAGTATACCCACTCCTGAATCAAAAGCTCCCAGCCTGACAACGAGTACTGTACAAGCTCTGCCTGCATCATCTACTGCACCCTTATTTAGTAATCAAATAAATCCTCCAAATATTTCTGTATTTGGAGGAATGTCGAGTTCCACACCAACTTCGTCTACATTTACTGTTACAACCACTGTACCTAGCATTCAAGCTACTACTACTACTGCTAGTACTACTAGTGCCTCTTCCGAACCAATATTTCGTGGTTTTAATACCACTCCGGTAACGAGTACAGCCGCTGCAGCAGTAACAACTTGCAGTACAGTATCTCCATTTCAAAGTACTTTATCAAAATCTAATTCTGATAAAACTACAGTGAATTTGTCTACACCAAACTCTACCACTGTTTCTACTACCGTTTCTACGCTTCCTTTTGGTAGCGTTACAACAACTTCAGTTACTTCAGTTTTTGGTAAACCACCTCTGGCAATGAATACTCAATTTGCCAGTACTCCGGCAGTTTCTTCGGCTGCTAATACCTTCGGCACACCAGTTATCAGTCCGACTTCGATGCCATTCGGAGGTTCTACGAATACATCTATATTCGGTCAAATGCCAACAACTTCAGCAAATGCTTCGGTCTTCAGTGAAAGTGGTACTACCTCGATCTTCGGTGGAAATAGTCAAGCATCGCCTTCTGCTTCTATCTTTGGAGGAGACGCATCCGCAGTGAATACATTTGAAACTCCTCAAAAATCCATTTTTGAAAATAATGCTCAGAATTCAATATTTGGTTCGATGTCAAACACTGGCTCTACGTCATTCTTTGGTGGAACCATGAATAATACTGCTCGGGGAGCATCTTCACCCGGTTCACCGTCTGTATTTGGTGGTGGAACAACAGGTTCACCACCAATGGGTTTGGAACAACCTAGTTTTCGGCAGGCTCCTGCGTTTGGAGCTGCATCAGTTTTTGGATCACCACCTTCGTTTGGAGCACCAAAACTGGGAGGTTTTGGTGGTGGATTTGGAGCAGCAACATTTGGAGCTAGCGCGTCACCTCCAGGTAACACGTTATTTTTGCTATCCTATAATTTATTATCTATTAAAATTAACTGTAAGAATGGTATAAAACAGCGTTTGGAAGTCCACCGGCAATGGGAGGGAATCCTGCACCAATTGATAACACCATGCCGAAAGTTTTTGAAAGTGTAGACAGTAGCAACACATTTGAGTCCTTAGCAAGCCAATCGGGTGGTCTCACTTTCAGTAGCCTGGCGCAAAAGAATGTAGAGGCATCAAAATCTCCAGTATTTACTAGGTATGATATTGTTTATGTTTTTCTTACGTTTAATAAATCGCAAAATTTTAATAAACGTTAATATTTTTTATTGCAGCGGTAGTTCTTTTTCCGCCTGGCGGTAATGTACAAATGTTTAAATCGAATTAAATGAATCGTCTCATCATTTTAATAAAAATAGAAAGCAACACATTTTAGTATCCTTTTCGTTTTTGTGAGCTTAGATCATGTATTTATAATTACTTTTTATTAAAGACATTATTAACATCGTCAATTTTAAAACATTGTTGATATCTACATTGTACAAAATCGGAGAGATTTAGTATGTTTTGAATTTATTTACAATAAAGACATTTTATAAAATATAGCGTTATATAAAAATATAGTTAGATACCCCTTTTTATAGGTTTTGGTGCAATTGATACTTTAGTTGGTTTGCAAAGATCAATGACACACGGATCGTCAAGGGGCGAGTGTGTACACATAGCTGAAGACGGTACAAAAAGTGCTAGAGATATTTCGACGTTGCAAGCTTCCATCCAAACTTGATGGGAAAGCAGTACCGTGGTTTTTAATCTATAATCATTCTGCTCTGTATTTTGCAATCGTAAATCCGATTGACGCGGTAATAATAGTTGTATTTGTTGATCGGGATGTCTCAATTTTATACGTAATATACTCGGATCTCGTAAATTTAATATTTTTGCCGTTAACGGGATTCCTAATAGAAGTCCGCCCGTAAATTTCAATGCGGCATCTGCGTCGCCTCTAGGTTCTTCAATAATCGCTCTACAAAATCTAGTAGACACCGATGGTCTAGGAAGTCTTTCTTCGCCTTGCGATACCGGTGTCAAAAGCAACGGTAACAACAACCGAGTTAAGGATCCTGGTTTAACGTCGGCTAAGGTAGGAATCTGAAGTACAAGAGATCTAGAAAAGGATGGCAACTTGGACGTGTCTTGAGGTAGGGTATCAGCTTCGGACAAAAAATGACGCGCGAGCGGAAGCGCACTTCTTCCTGTTACGCTTCTTGTTACTCGAATCAATTCTATCGCTAGTGCTTTTAACCACACGTCATTGGCTAATATGATTTCATTTTCATTCAATCCACTGAATAGTCGTTGCAATCTACAAATTGAAATTATTTCTGAATAAATATTTGCGTATATTAGATATAACAGATAGAAAAAAATAAACGTACTTTTGAGTGTTTTGAAGCAAGACTGAAACGTTAGTGGTTGTATTCGGTAAAGGACTCGTCGATACTGAATTCGCTGACGATATCGAGAACTCTTTCAATACGGATTTCAGAAGTAATAAGCATCGTATATAAAGAACAGTGAAACGTGCAGCTCCCTCCATCCGATGATCCATTTCTGCTAAACGATCAAGATCAATGGCTGCAGCTTCTAAAAGTTGCGTATGAACTCGCCCACCAGGTCTTGCATTTTCCACGCCTGTGACCACTTTTTCTAAAAATTCTTTTCCACGTTCTGCTTCATCGTCAATTTTATCTTCATTTCCGAAGCCAGGTCCACTGGTTACAGTTGGTCGTAAACGAGGAACCAGATGCGGCATAGTATCGCGTAAATAATGATAATGTTTCGATGCATGCTCTGTAAACAATGCATGCATACTCGGACAATGCAATGCGGCATTAAATATTAGTACTAGAACGCTTGCATCTATTATTTATAGTTAAGAATATTAAAGTATTGTTACAAGTTTTATATGTAGTCTACGAAGAAAATTAATGAAAGGATACAGGACGGTTCATCGACATCTGGTTCCGGTGTATCGAAAAAGGGGTGCCGTCCAAGAAGTTGTGGCACTAATGGTAACGTTAGATATGGATGCGAAGCTCCTAATGCTGCTAAACAGTTTCTGATACTTTCTTTGTCTTGTGGATAGCGACTCAAATTGTCAAGAAGACGATTTACACACATGTGAAGACAATTTCTTGTAGCAAGACGGCTAGCAGCTAAAGTAGCGTGCAAACCTTCTCGCACTTCGCCCGAAAAATCTTCTAGTGCTCCCAGAATTGTTTCTAATTGATCTTCACGAAGCGTAACGCTTGCCGACATTTTTCTTAATGACTCGATAGCACGCAATCTTACATCTTGAATTTCATCGTTGAACATGTCAACCATAAAATCTAAGGAAATTCTGGCTATATTTGGCTGCTCCAGAGATAATGTACAGAGAGCCTCAACTGCTGCTGTTCTTACCTAAATATAATTTGTATTAAATACGCAGAGTATAGTTATCTAGATGTGTACAAATAAATATAATACCTCTAAAAATTCATCTTCTAAACCATGAATAAATGCACCACAAGACCCACTCTTTTCTTCTACTTCTGGTCTATCTGTTTCTACAACCTTCTGTTTTTTATCTAATGCTTGCTCTATGTATCGCTGTGATACACCTTTCATTGTTCCAAGTAAGGACATTGCAGAAGCTCTAACTCTTGCTGACAAATCACCCATAAGACCGCATATTTGAGAAAATGCACAATCGACCATACGTATATCTTCTCCATCTGCTCCTACAATAATGCTGTAAAAGAATCAACATAGCATCTTGTCAATGATAAATAATTATTTATTTGATAAGTAGTAACAAATGAAAGTAATAAAATATTATATACTTTTCAGGATATTCTCTCCCTAAGAGCCATATTAATTTAAGAACAGTTCGACGAACTATTTCGTAATCGTCGCGAAGCGCAGCACAAGCTTCTCCGAAGAAGCTTGCCGGTAGTCGACAACCCCTATGTGAATGCAGCTCAGCCATTGTTTCAAATGCTTGGGCACGTACTCTAGGATCTTGAGAACGTGCATAATTGCCAACAAAAATTAAAGTATCATCTGTGGCATTTGCAGTTAAGTATCTGCCAATGATAGAAAGGCAACGTGTTTGTACACCATGCCAAGTATCCAACAAATGCTCACGAGCAATTTTTAATACAAGTGTCCTACAAAAGTATGAGATCAGTTTTTTCTGTCATTGAAGAAAATAAATTTCAAATCTACACAAAATACCTATGATAGTCCCCTAATTTTAACAATGTTGCTAAACCTTGACTTTTTACTCTATGTGATTCTTCATTTCTTAAAAGTTCAGAAGTTTCAGTAACGATTCTTGTCTTTTCTGTTGAATCATTTGTAACTTCTCCTAGTTCTGCAAAAATCCAAAGTATTTTTGCACGGACTGCAGCTTCAGTTTCTATAGTAAATCTTTCTGACAACTTTTTTACTACTGAAGGAACATCTTCTGGAGAAATGTATGCGATAGTATCAGATATACGAACAAGAAGCTGCAAAGCATCATTGCCACATTTACTTTTCTCAAGACATTCTATATAAGCTAATGCTGAACTCCCCTCTGTTCCATTTTTACTGCTACCAGCAGTAGCGGCAAGACGTAATGTTTTTAGTCTTTTTAATGGTGGTTCAGTTATAACCTAGAAATAAAAATAATTAGAAACAAAGTTTCAATGAACATATTTTAAGTGGAAATATGATTTACCTGACTTTGGTTAAACTCTGCTAAAACTCTTTTCTTCATTAAAGCTGCCATACTAATAAAATACCTTACATCGATATGTATTCAAGATATAAAGTTTAGGTTATATTCTTTAAAATGTACCAAAATTAATGCTATATATTCCTGTTACTTCCACATACTAAATACAAAAATCAACATTTCTGTTTTCATAAAATTTATAAGTTGATATATAGCAGTACAGTGCTTATATTTTTTGTGTCAAATATTGTATGTGAAATGTAAATTATTGAGAATTCTATAACAATTGTAAGGTTATATTTCATAAATTGCACAAAACATAATACGAAAAGTTTTTCATGCTACTGATAAACTAATTATTTAATGTTTTATGTAACGTGTATAAGTTACATATAAATTAATACTATTAAAATAACATATTATAAAAGTTGCTTAGTTTATGTAAAAAAAACCGCAACTTTCTGTTTGTAACATTAGCTAGCGATATTTAGTAATGCACGTAACCATGGATGGCACTATAATGCAATACCAGTCTCAATCGACACAGTAGAATGTGATATGATAATAGATAGGAATTTACATCGCATGATAAATCTATTCTATATCTCCGCCATGGTCTAATTTACCTTCGCGTTGATAGTAAACGGCGCTAAAAAAGCTCAAATTGTTGGGTTCAATTAAAATATGTTTTGCGGCTGTAACTTTATTGTAAATTAAACGTCATGTAATTAATTAAATAATATTCTATCATATTCCTGATTCTCTTAAATACTTGTTACAAAAGCATCATATAATAATAACATTATTCTGTTAATATTAAATTTCGAAATATGAATGTGAAATGTGTTCTATTAATATTTACTTTGCAATGTTGGATAATTCCGAACTGCTTAAATAAAAGTAATACTATAAAATTGTTATTTATTTAAAAGAAAAATTTACTGAAAATATTTCAATTTTTTAAAAGCATTTCTTTTACTTACAATTATTAAATAAAAATTTTCGTCTTTATGAATAATCTATAATTGAATTTTATAATTATGCATAATAAAAGAAATTTTTTTTGGTATTATCTATAATTGCATAATTTATTGACAAAATTTTGTAAACGTATTAAACATAAATATTTATCTTTTTGTAAAATTAACAATGTAAGAATCTGTCAAATTGACAAGTTAATCTTGCACTAACATGGCTGCCGGGATCAATAGAAAACTGTCATGATACCTTTTGCCCATGCTCATTGGTATTATTAAATTTTTTAAGATGTATCGTATAAATATTTCCCGTGAATATGAATTATTTTAAATTATTATCAAAGTTCTTTATATATTTCGTGAAAATGTCATAATTTTGACGATTGTAATGATAGGAGAAAGTGTTCTGAATAACTGTTGACCCGTGAAAAGAGGGTGATTCACAACAATGTAATTCAGCATTATGAAAATATCACCTTTTTTTACGATCCATTAAAATGTATAGATATTATAGCAGTACCTAGTATTTTACATAAATGTCGACGATATTGTTGTTATAAAAGTATTAGTTACATAAAGTTCGAATATATTTAATATTTTTACATAATTTTTGTTACATAGTTGTGACAAGACAGTGCCTATTCCTACAATTTTACTTAATATTTTCTGATCTTGGTAGAGCAGAAGTATCACGCTTAATAAAGGAAACTATTAAGTTTCCGATAGGTGAAATATTAATATGGACATTTTTGAATTTATTTGTACATCTGTGATTACATTTGTGTGTGGTATAATATGTACGCTATGTTTGGAGTTTTACTTGTTCAAAAAATATTTGGAAGAAGCTCCCTTAGCAAGTCCTCCAAAAAGATCAATCCATCATGGAATGGCTCAGTTACCTAAAGAATTACTTGAAAAGATTCAAGATGAAAAGACAAATCCTAACATAAGTATATCACGCCAAGCCATGTGCCAAGGTAACGAAAACTTGGCAATAAATTTAACGTTGCAATTTTTGTTTAATGAACTTCGAAATGCTGAACGAGTTCGTCTTTGGTTGTATAGAAAATTAAATAATGAGTTCAAAGAATTATTGACTCAGTCCACTACAGGGAAATTATTGGATAGTGTACAGGTAGATGTGATATCAAGTTGGGAGCATCCCTTTAAAATTTAGCTATAATTTTATTAATGAAAACTAAGAATGTTTATATATTTTTAGTTAAGGGATTTGAATTTGGGTACTCAGTTTCCCACCATAAAAGGTTTAGAAGTTGCAGATTCAAAAATAGATGCTGATACGGGTTTATTGGAAACATTGGATTTATCTTTAGATTTGCATTATTCTGGAAATTTTCAACTGTCAATAGATGTAAAAATGCTGCTGGGTAAAACTGCTTACATGGCTTTACAAGGTATACGTTTAATTATTTTGAATAATGGTAATTTAGTAAGTTTTTATTAAATGCAAATTGTGATTTGTTTCAGTGAAACGGGTCAGTGGGAGAGCGAGACTGCAATTTACACGTGTTCCGTATACTCATTGGTCTTTAAGTTTTTATTCAGACCCTATACTTGAATTAGAAGTGCAATCTCAATTTCAAGGTCGTCAATTACAACCACAAATTATTTCCTTAATCACAGGACAGATTCGCAGAGCTGTGCGTAGGAAACATACACTACCTCGCTATAAATTGCGTTACAAACCATTCTTCCGCAGACTGAACGATGAAGCGGTAGATTTATCCGAAGTAAGGTGTTTTTTGACTCTTTAAAGACATCAAAATAACAGGAAGGGTATCTTTGTACATTTAGACATGTTTGTTTAGGTTGCCAATATGCAATTAATACCGGGTTATTTGGAAGTATCATTACTGGAAGTGAGTAGATTAAATCTTGGACCTAATACGCTTAATGCAGAAGATAAATCACAGATCGAAGTGTATTGTACGATAAGTATAGACTCAACACCTTGGGTATATTTGACTCAATATACTGGAGTTCCTTATATGGTGTTGGATTTGATTATTAGTAAAGTTAGTTCTCAGCAACTTGGTGTAGTATTTAAACAAGAACTTGTGCCAGAAATAGGTCATGTTTGTGTGCTAGTCGAAACTATAATAACTGGAAGCCCTGCAGCTATTGCTGAAATGAAAAAAGGGGATATTTTAGTAGCAGTAGATGGTAAAAAAGTATCTAACATGAATCAAGTAGGTAAACTTGTAAAGAGTGCTGTACAAAGGCGTTTTATCATAAGAGTTGAAAGAAAGTACTCAAAAGCAGATTTGGATAAACAAGCTAACATGAAACTGGACAGTGAAAGATTATCTGCAGAGAAAGGAATGGACAGAAAACCATTGAAAACTGATGCGTTGAGTAAAGGAGATAGTATTCCTAATATTGAAGAGAGTGCAAAGATTAAATTTGAAAGTCAAATTAAATTTTCAGATCTGAAAGATTCTGAAAGCGAAACTTCTGAAAAGCCGGAAACAGGTAGTAAAATTTTTAAAAGAAGAAAAAGTAGCGCACATACTACAGATGATACTGCTCAAACACCTGACAGTATACCTTCCAGAAAAATTTCAACCACTTCAAATCAGTCTATCATATCGAGTAACTCTCAGTTTTGTTTTAACGACGATAGTTACATAATAAATATATCAGATTTATATTATACCACGAAAGAAAAGGAACATGCCTCTTTAATTACTTTCGAAGAAACGAGAAACTTTCAAATCGACTCGGAACTTCAGTACTTGAACATAGGCGTATGGGGTCGTGTAAGAGGAGGAGAAATTCAGGCAAAATTATTAGGATATATAAACGTTCCCATGAAATTAATATTAGCACAATGTTACACGTCTTCAACTGGTCATTATCTTAAATGCCATGCTTTGTTACCACCAGACAGTGGTATGTATTATTATCAATGATTAATATTTATTTCATAATATCGTATATTTTAATTTCATTTATTTTAAAAAGCTTCTTTGACAACCGTTCACCCAAAGTTACAAGGATATTCAGGATTCGATCCAACACTTTGTTATGGTGACATTTTATTATCTTACGTATGGGAGTCCAGTTATCCGAGTCGACAGTTATCTGGTGATTCAGGAAAGAAAGAGAGTACAGAATCTGCCAAAATACAGCCAACATTGAACGAAGAGATCACGAATAAAAAGATGCACGATTTTATTAGAACGCATTTTCATAGAGCAACACATTGCGACTTTTGTACAAAGAAGGTCTAAATTTCTCTATTTATTTACGCTCATATATAATTATCCAAAACAGAACATCAAAACTTCTGTTTATTATACAGATTTGGCTAAAGGATGCGGTACAATGTAGAGACTGCGGCATGGTATGTCATAAAAAATGCGAAGTGCGCTGTCAAGCATCAGGAATGTGTGGAGCTGAGAGTATAACGACAGTGGCATTAGAAGCTGATGAAATAGAGCCTAATACTCTTATCGGGGATTCAGGTCCAGAAATTTCTCTAACCAGTTGTGAAGATAATGTACAGGTACTCAAGACGTAGTAAAAAGTTTTTAATTACGCAAAAATGGCATTGCCAACTCGCTAAAATTTTTAAATTCGCATACATATAAGATACATATAAGAAGTGAACTTTTGTGGTTGGCAACTCCATAAAGCAGACTTGAATTTTTATTCGTTTTCCGCTATGATACAATGTCATTTTCCAACAAACAATGATGATATTTAAGATAGGATAGGGTTTTAAATCATATTTTGCAATTAAAAAGTTTATCGAATGTGTAATATATATATACAATCTATATTTTTACCGAAAAATTGTATATTAATTTTGAAAGTAAAAATTTTATCATTCTATTGTCATTCGAATGAATTTTTCAGAAAGAATTATTATAAAATTACAATCACTATGCATATCTACGCTTTACTAGTCATATTTAATTGTACAGTATGCAATGCTGTAATCAAGGAATTGCAGTTTCGGGCAATTAATGTACTACTTTAAATAACTAGAGTATTCTTGGTATTTTGTAAATAGGGAAACAACTGTTAAGTATAATTCATTTTATTGTTGGCAATAAAACTGATCATCCGTATATAGGGGAGGTGAAGGTTTTTTGTAGGTTTGCACCTTGACCTTGCTTCTAATTTTTAGTATTTTCTGAATTTTTGTAAGTGAATAAATCACTTGCTAAACCGCGTATAAGTATTTCTTTTTACCACGCGAGTAACTATGAAATATCATACTCATTCAAAATGAAAATGCGGCCCGCTTGTACCGTATTTTAGCACTTTATCGGATACTACATAATTGGGCAAATAAATTTATTAATAAATTTCAAATCCGTTGATCGATTAATCAGGGTGCAACTATGATGGCCATGAAGGCTAGTATAGCTAACACTCTGTTGGGCCTGAAGAAGGCTGGAAGCACCAGTTGCTTGGCCCCACCGGCTTCCGGTACCGGTCTGGCATCTAGAAGTCTTCCCCCAAGTCCCTGTGCATCCCGCAAGGTAGAATTTAATAACACACAGATTTGTTCGCTTGGAACAGAGAAGGATCAAATTAACAATTATTCTATATACAAACATTGGGACAATGATTTAATTTTATTTTTCGAACATTCGGATATAGTTGTAGACCTTCTCTGCTCTGTATTTGTTCTTTGTCCTTTTCTTTATACCAACAATTACGATGAATAAAGATCACGCTTATGACTAAGGTATTTGAGTGTCTAGTTTTCCAGCTTGGAAATGTTTTATCCTATTCAAGGGAATCAACCGAAGAAGGCGCATTGTTTGTCCAAATAAAATGTTATAGGGATTAGATTTTTCTTTTCAAAAATTTATAGCAGAAAATTTGTAGAACATACGTTGTAACGACGAAATATGTGACTCTAAAAGTCAGCTTTCGTGAATGTTTGAAAAGGAAAATCTGTAAAAGAGACAGTGCTCTTTCTTCCCATGTTCCCTTTATTTGCGTTCGCATTTTTATGCAATATTTCTTAAACTTCTGTACACCAGCTTACGCTCTTCTTTTCTGTCGCTAACGAACACACTGTTTTCTGTTGCTCATGGCACTAATTATTTATTTGGGATGACAGATATACATGCAGATGCACATTGAGGCCGTCACGCTTATTATATAAGACATTATATATTGATGCTGTTACAACCTTTTACAAAAAACAATAAGCGTTCGAATAACTTGGCTTTGGTTGCGTTAGTTTCTTACGTTTTTTAAACTATCGTATGAATCGAGGCAGGTGCATTATACTCTAGGATCAAGCTCGAGTCTAACGTTTGACCTCTGACGAATCTGATTAAATTATTGAAACATTTAGAATTCATTGGTCGGAGGATTGGGCATAAGTTCTGATCTTTTGGAGGGTGCTGAGCCTAGTGTGGCAGCTCCTCTATTAGCCGGCGATTTGGACGATGGTCTTATGTCTAGAGCTAAAGATACCGGCAAGTTTTTGTACAAATATTTGGAGCCGCAAGAACGCGTTGAAAAGATTAATGCCATGGTAAGAACAATTCTTTTTGTGAACTTAAGGAAGTTAACATTGATGATCCACAAATTTAACCGTAGATGGGGAAGCTGAAGACTGCGCTCGACGCGGAAACTACCTCAAGATTAGAATTATCACAGAGCGGAGAAATGGACAGTATTAAATTAATCGCACAGAGTGATTTGCGAGTTCAAGCATTGAGTGTCTTACTTTTGCACTACTGTGCCGGTTTACAGCATGCTCAGGAGGCATTGGATCGATCGAAAAGCGGCAAGGAATCTTAACGGACCTAGAGATTTGCGAATGAAAACCAAAATACAGGATGAGGAAGATCATGATATCGACGTACAAAGATATACATATAAAGGCATATGCAGTATGCCTATTTTATTTCATGTTTTTGGATTGCACAGTTAATTATCTTTATGCTAAAGAACTTCTCACTAAAATATTGATCAAAATAGGTACAACTCCTATGCCTTTATATTTTTGCTCCTCAGTAATAATCTTTTATTTTTTATCATTGGGAGAGGTAGTTGGTGGTACAGGATGTTTCATAACACATAGAGTTCGCATTAACAATGGACAGAGAACACGTTAGGTCACATATGTTTTTGCCTCACCGATAAATTTTTCAATGGTAAATTGAACAAATGTAACTAATTTTTTTAACAGATAAATTCTGCACATTTTACTTTTTACGATTACTTCTGTATTCCTGGTGTTATGAAACGTTCTCTATAATTCAAAGGTATTTCAAACTCGATATTACACTTGCACATCGATCAGTTTGTTCAATTTAGAAATTTTCTGTCATGTATACTGTATGTAATCCAACGAATTCAACGGATCGAATATGCTTTGAAATTCTTCTTAAAATCGTACCGCGATACTCGTATAATAGATCTCAAAAATAATACTCGTGAATTTTACCGTGATATCTTTATAACTTACCAGAGAACACCAAATACTAAGACTTGTATTTACAGATTATTATATGTATATTCGTAGAGAAGCGAGCGCAACGTGTATCACCGCGTGTTTACGCGATACACGATTCGAATATTTTGATCGATATACGTATAGATGAATAGCTATAAAGTAAAGAAAATAAATTAGTGTCTTTGAGTTCGGTAGTAAGGTAATGGGCAATTAGGTACTTAAATATAGTAATCGATAGCTAAGTGGAACAGGAATTATTCTCTTTGATATCAGTATATAATTAACTTCAATTATCAAGCGTTCACTCGAACAATTTACTCAATTGTGTTTTTTCTTTGTCGAAACGTGTTTTAGTAATTGTAAAACCAGCTGCAACGAAAACCGCATGGATTGCGACTGAATTTTATCAGACAACAATGCGTATCAATTACCTATCGTAAGCATGAATGAAATACACGATACGATAGAATTCCATCCAACAGAATAAAACATTTCAAGTATCGGTGTATATACGTACATTCCGTTGCTTTACGAACCGCTACGATTCATTGTTAACAATGTAAAACGAATATACAAAACAAATGAATATAGATTGTTGAACTGAGATTTATAAAGTTGTAATTTATACTCGTACTATTTTAAGATCAAGAGACAGAAACAGAGAGACGATTTTGCAAAATTGAGCTGCGTGTCTATAGTTATTGGCGACGTTTCCGTTGACGCTGCACCGAACATCCAATTTCTCGGTAAATATGAAAATACTCGAAAAACGGAGACGCAGTTAACGGACGCAGCGCACAAAGAATCTACGTCAGAGCCAAAGATTTTATAGGGCCAACGTTCGCGGTCGAACGGACACGTTTTTGCGAAGCTCGTTTGAACAAATAGCGCGATCGCCAACAGTAAGGGTGTGTTTAAACTAAACGAACAAATGCAGGATCCATTCGAGTAAATTATTGGACCACGATAAACGACCGAATGTGGGCGAAGTTCAAATTAAGTTGACTTGATTAATGCTATCATCGAGATCCTTGTACCCCTAGTGTTCATAAAAGAATAATCGTAGTGGTAGCATTTGTTCACTCGGTTTAAACGTATCCTAAAGTGCAGCATAAAATCGCGAAAATGAAACCTGTAGTATTTCTCCAATTCCTGTCGCAACTTGTATACCGTCCCACGCTTTATTGCGAATCAACGAACGATTTTTAATCGCGTCGTCCCTCCTTTCGATAATTCTCAGATCTTCGAGCACGTTTGAAAAAGATACGTCGTTTGGATTATTCGTGGAACACGCGATGTTTTCTCGTGTCACGCGTTGGCGTACATCACGGTTGGCGTAAACTCAGAATGATAAAATTGCGCGTCGTTTTTGGAAACACGACGTTCGTAGAATTCGCGAAGTACCTACGACGCTCCGAGTAGACGGGCTGGCGACTGGAAAGTTGGGGAACATCTTTCTCGCTTGCAACAAGAGGCTAATGTACACGTGAATCGGTAGCCGCGTGCACCGATCTCGATGAAGCAGCTTTTATCTCGTCCATGAGAGAATCAATACGAACACGACGACAGAGAAGTCATGGGGGATTTTGGCCCGCGAATCTATTCTCGTCCATGAAATGCACGCGCAGTATCCTCTGGCCACGTGCCAAACATGCCGAAGAATCGTATAAACATTTTATCCCTGTTGGGCACTAGGCTCTACGATGAATGGAGAGCAACGGAGTCCTCCAAGTCCGAGAAGAAAAGAGCCAACGTTCACTCGTTTTGCTTTCGTTTCATCGGTCACACGCAGGATTCATGATTTTGACCTTTTTCTTACTTTTTTTTATTTTATAGATATTTTCGATAAGTATCGCAAAGATGAGTCACGCGAATTTTTCTTTTTTAGCATACTGAAATGTCTGAGTCGAAATACGAATTCTAGTTTGACTCTCTAAAACTGTTTTGGATCTGTCACATCTTTTGCGAAGATTGAAAGGTCTTTAATTAATTCTGAAGTCTAGTCCACGAATTCATTTGTTTCTATGTTGAAATCAGAAATAGAAAATTAAGATTTGGACGTCAAAACAACCGATCCTCAACTTGTTTTTAGCGACACTATTTCGAGGCTTTAGTATACTTTCTTCAGTAATTGCAATTGAATGAGCCGAACCATATCGAATTTAAATTTCGATTAAGAAATCGTAGGAACGTTGTTTAATTTGGTGAAACATGCACGCTTCTCGATCTCGTGATGTCGGCCAAAACTGAACGCGCAGTCGGGATTTTCTTTTGTCTGAAACGACTCTGTAATTTTCGCCAGGTCTTCCAGACGTTCGCGCGGCTGTTTATTATCGCGATGAATGTATACACGCACGCGTACCTGATTTCTATTTAAACGTCTCTCTTCGTAATTGCATTCTCTGCTTTGACGCGATCGGTTCAATTAAAATAAACTACATTTATACCATTATTAATATCCGTTCGACAGAAGAGAATATATGAGTTTGATGAATTTATTTTCGGTTGTTAGGCACTATCGATCGTAAGGTTCCCAAGATCGAAAAACGTTAACGCATAAAAATTTCCGTTTACAAACGGCCACGTATGCGCACGTGTCATTTTTATTCACGGAATTTACGTGAATCGTGTATTTGCGAAAAATACGAAGAAATGTGGCTGAAACGGGATCGACTGGAAAAGTTCGCGAAATCTGGACGGTAATAATGATGCTTGCAATGGCGCAGTAGGCATCGTGCCGAATCAACGAACGAACGAATGGTTCGTCGTATTTTCGACCTTGGTTTCAAAACGACTCTCTTAGAAAATATCGCGAAATGAACAAAGCTTTCGCCGCGAAACACTGGGCCGGAAGCGCGTTAAACGCGTCGAAGATCTTTCGTCGAGCCGTGCACGCTTCCTTCTTACTACGCGAGCTATGCCGCTAATTGCATGTTTATATAACTACACGATGAAATATATGAACATATGTACATATATATGAAATCAAATATTCGACCAACGACAATCTAGGAATCATTCGTACAACGTTGTGTAATTCCTTCTTGAAGATATTCTACTCGATGAACGCTTTCTTCACGCTTCCTGGGTGTGGAAAATTTAATTCGCTTTTGAAACATTGCATAAGTCCGCGGATATGCCTGAAAAATTCAATCGATATTAACCAAAAGTTTTAATCTATCTGAATCGCTGCTACTGGCGTAACTAAGTACCCCCTATTAAATATTTATACATTTTTTATTTTAAAAATTCTAAATCTCTGAATCTTCAGAAACAATTTATCGTTTCTCTTGTAGATTGTTAACATTGTTAGTAAAGTTTGAGGATCTGGCCCTTCTCCCGGACGAAAATCCGAGCTACGCCAATGATCGTTGCATTATACAATAACGTTTAATAAGAGCGAATGCTTTTTTATTTCTTTCATAGGGAAGAGAAGAAAGATCGAACACCGTTAATATTCAAAATACTGGGAGATAGAAATACTTATTGCAGTAATTGTATAATGTGGGCGGAAACATCCCGTATGTAAACGGAAGGGTCTTGAAATAAATTAAAAAGAAAAAATAGAGTTTAGCAGTTGATAAATTGAACGTTGTAGGAAATTCACCGACATCGTTCGAGGAGTCACGTAAACGCGCCACTTTCCAAACATACACGCACAATACGACTCTCTTCCTAACTAACGCACCATTAAAAAACAGCTTCTTCATCTCGATAAAACATGCAATTGAAGTGGATGAATCATCTTAATTGGCGAGAACTTTTGCATCATGAAATATTCAAACCTAATCCTAACCTAGACATACACCTAATTCAATTTTTTATATCTCAAACTATTTAAACCTAACACTAATATAACCTTGCTTGTAAATTACCCAGATCAAACTCAAGCTCTTGTATCATTACTTGGATCTATCACGAAACGTTTGCATCGCAAATTATCCCATATATAATTTGATTATTATTTCAGGTGATGGTAAAAATGATATAAATTTAATCCAGATCCAACACGTTTCATCGAATCCCTCCCTGTTTCCATCGATCTTACGCGTACGTTTCTTTCGAACAAGAACGCAAAGACCTTCGACTAGGCTCATTTATCTACCTATTTCTGTACGAAGAACCTTCAATGCCACGATCAACGTAGTTCGATTCGTAAGAGGCGTAACGCGGAAAAGTCAGCATCCGATCGAAGTCAGCAAAGGATCGGTACAGCTGGTTCTCGCGTAGTTCTTTCTCCTGTCTACGGACAAAACATCGAGAAAGACTCTGAAGAACGAGATGTCGTTGCAACCTTGGTGGAAAACTCAGACGGCAATTTCGACAGGTTGCAGGTTGACTGCACCTATAACCGTGCATGTGCGTGTCTGTCCCTACATTTGTTTTCAAACAAAGAGAGGGAAACGAAACAAAGTAGTCAGCTGATCCGAGATACATCTTTGGTGGGAGACTCGCGACGAGGGCTTAAATAGCACCGCGTGGAGTTTCTGCACTTCAGTGCCAGGCAGCGTCACCTGAAACGCTCTCGTTTGCCAGACCTCGAACGCAAACAAACAGAACGGTGTTCTTTTTTGGCTTTGCGAAAGTATCGATTATTCGAACTCACGATCAATTTGTCCGTTCGATGTTCACGAAGCCGACGTTGCTGCGACGTTTTCTTGGTCGAATCGTCCGACAGTATTGAAGACGAAGATTCCTCTTGGACGCGATAGTTTGTTTGAAAGTGCGCGTTTCGAGCAGAGGCTGCGATTCGAAACATGATAGTTTCCTGATGCTGGAACAAACGACGAGTACCAAGAGTGTTGCATCGATATCTTGACGAAGAAATCGTAAAAACTTAATCGTTTACCTGCTCGCTGTGTCCTTCTTCAGGAAGATCCAGTGAACGTTGAAGAGATTTTCGGAGATAGCTCTCGCTTTCTTTTTTCACTTGGAGCTTTCGCGTTCGAGGTAGTTGAAAAACACAGAAGAGATGAGACCACCCGCGTACAATGGCGAGGATGTGCAGATCTCTCAGGAACAAGGCGAGAGGAACGTGGCCATGGCTGTTTGCGTGCAGTTGGCGGGCCGGGCAATAATCAGGGTAGTTTCCCGATGCGAAGAGGCTCAAGACAATTGCAATCTAGGTTGGTCGGATTCAAATAATTCTACGGTCATTAATTATCTTCTTTCTGCTCCGTTTCGCTGACTTACATCGCTATAAACTTTTGCTTTGTTTATTATCGTATTTGACAGTCATTTATTCAAAAGTTTTCACGAGAAAGTTGTTCGAGGAAACTCGTTGAATTCTGATTGAGAGAAAACAGTCATAATTTTGATATATATTTCTGTTGATTACAAAAACAGTATCTTCTTTTGCAAATTACTACTTTTAATGGGAACAGACAAGAAAGTGTACCCCTTTTTTCTATCGCCTCTTAAGTCGACTCAATAAACTGAGATAGAATCGGTTAACGAACTTAATTGTTTCCTTCGCGTTTTATATACTTTCTAAGCTGCGATATCTTTCCGGCTTTGAGGTATTACACTTTCGCTCGACGAGCATTTCGTTCGTGGAAAATGTTCCTCGAGTCAATTTATATTTTCTTTCGCTGCTCGAATGAAAAAGAGGAAAACACGATGCGTTTCATTTAAAACGAAACAAAGAAATGAGCTGCGTAGATTTAGTCATCGATGCTCTGATAAAATCTTAGATAAGATATCGAATAATGTTAAAATTACAATACTTTGCAAAACGTTGACACGCGGTCTTTTATTTTTTCATTAATTATTTTATAATCCAGAATCGTTTTCTATAAATTTCATGAAGAATGTTACAAATGTTGATAAGCAGTAATTTTTATGAAGTTACTGTTTAGTTGATTAATTCATAAAATTTATTCTAAAGATTTGTTATATTTAATTCAACGTTTTTATACTGTGCAATATAATAGTATATGTTATGAATCGAGAAAACCGTAAATCTTATGTGGAAAGTATCGAGTTTAAGCTTTGGCTGGTACGTAACGCATCGTCTGACCCCCTGCTGGCATAATCTACTTACGCCAGTAGATTCGATGTTAACGCAACTCTCGACGTTCCTATCACCGTGAAATCGGTAATAATTTTGTAACGAATTGCAAAGTAGTGAAAGCAAACCGATATTGTTCGCAGTGTACATAATATTATAAGAAATTTAATGTTTAGTCTTCGTGAAAGTTTATCAGAGCAAATTAACCCTTTGCGGTATACCTGTGTTTTGTAGATATTATTTGCAAGTCTAGTTAAGTATTTTTATTTACGATATCGGTAACATTTGATATTTTTAATAGGAATAGAAATGTTGACATAAATTCGTCACCTTTAATTTCACTTATTCCGTATTTTGCAATATTTAGAATCGACTGGTAATTTCCGTCTAATATGTAAAATAAATGGACCGCGAAAGGTTAATAGACACATATGATTGAGCGACCTTAAAATTCGTTCAGTTAGAGGACTAATAAAGTTGGCAACGCGATACGTGTTTCTGGCCGGCCTTGATTCGTTGATTCAACCGACGACCTGTAACGAGCTCGACTTTCAAACTACCGTGACAAATTAGCTCGACCAGCATTAGGTACACTCGGGTGCAACACATGCTCCCTTTGGGGTAGAGGAAAGAGTCAGTTTAGGAAGAACTCAGCGAGAACCTCTATACTACTTCCTCTATAGGTTCTTCCTAAGATCTCCGTTGAGTCATACCAGAATTTCCTTATGCTCTCATTAGGATTTCTCTAGGATTTCCTTAAGGATAGTGATCAAGTCCTTCGTTTACATTTTCTCTAAATCGAGCAAATCCTGTATTGCATGTTACTATACGCTATTGAAGGAACCGATCGTTGCACCTTAGATCTGCATTTACTTTTAGAACACAGCGTACATTATGTGAATCGTTTCCTGATTCAATCCGAAAGAAAGAACAAGTCTCACAGTCCTTGCCTTATTCGTATACCCGGATAGATTTGAGACCTTTCTCAATGCCGCTTCTTCCAGCTTTGGTCTGACTCAATATCACTGTTTTCTTGCCCGTGCACAGCCAGCCTCAATCGTTTATAAAAAAGCTTCTCCTTCGCCGTATGCAATGCTTCATTGTTGTGTTCACACGTTTTTGTTTGGTCGTAATTTTTAAGACGTTTTGTTAGCAATGCTTGTTGTCGAGCCATCCAAAGTAAACACGATATTTCTAGTTGGTAAGTGGCGAAAGTCTCGGAGCGGTGAAAACGAGAGCGAGAGGCACTTGCCAGCTACTCGAGAAGTCGCGTGTGCCTACAACAACACATGTTAGTAATCACGAAAATCTCGGTTATAATTAAGAATGACACTTTCTGTAAGTTTCGCGTAAAAGCTTATCCTATATCAATGATCGTCTAGTGGGTCAAAAATGATGAAACGAAAATGATCCAAAAATATCCTTTTCTGTTCGCGTTGTTATAATTAGCCTGCAGGTGTTTATGCAAACGTGTTCAAAGTGTCATCTTGTTTTCCTTATTTTTCACGGTATACACGTTTTAAATGTTTCGTATTGATCGCTTAACGTGTAGCTACATGTGTTTGTAGCGTATACATCCACAATTTAGTTATAACGTTTAATTCAGAGCAGCGCGCTAGGTGATAGCGGTACCTAATAATGTAGGCACACGTAACAGGTGGTAGTTCCTCACCGCGATAGTGGTTCGTGCATCAATTGGAATAAAAGTGAAATGCTTGGTCGGGGTTCTAGCATAGATAATTGGTTGGATAAACATTGAGTTGCACAACTCGTATCCGGTCTTTGTTCCTGAAGTTGTCCATGCAACGATCGGAACACATTGTAAACCTTGCGCGCACGAGCATGCGTTGTTTTTGTGAGCGTTGTTTAAGAGGCATATAAGGTACAACTCAAGAGTTGGCGCGCAAATTTCACAAAAAATGAGAACAAACGATGGAAAATGAACAATGCATGTTTCATGGCATCGTTATGCTTTCTATGCATTTCGTTTTCTACTTTTTCCAGTAACGGAATAAAATTGTAAGTTACTATTAAAAATTTAGATGATTAATTCTTTACATCGATAAAAATCAACGTGCATCTTAAGAAGTAACGTTAACTATTAGTCACCTAGTTTTAGTGTTAGCGCTTTCACTAGATCGCCGATGTTAACACGTTGCAAACAAACAAATTCGCGACACACTAAGTTAATATTATTTTTACTATTAATACTAGTAATATTAACAAAGCGTAACGAAAACATGTTACAGTGATTGGTGCACACAATCGATGCGTCAATCATGAGTCAGTAGTCTGTCAACGGAAAAGATCTTTTGCACGTTTTGGAAGCATTCGTGAGCACGAAAGGTCAATCTCGGAATAGTGAACCGCTATGAGGCCTTGGCAAAGTAAATGCACGCGCTTTGCATGCCACACTAGAATCGTTCCTTCTTCCTGATCCTTTTTACATAGACTTACGGCAAAGTGTTAATGAACTAGTCAGCAGTTACATTACTTATTTAATTTGTTTCCTATAAAACGTCCTTACAGTTTGAAAGAATGAAAATTTTTCCATTATTTGTATACATCTATAGGAAAAATGAAACTTACCAATATGTTGCATATCTATCGGACATTCTTGTTGTTATATGTCTCAGTATAGATCGGCGATTTGTATTTGAGTAAATGAGTCATTTTATCGTCCAATCTGAACACTATTTCGTAAATAATATTTACATTAGTAGATAATTATAAATAGAGAAAGTTAATTTTTATCGAAAAATCAACGATAACATTCTATGTGGAAAACGCGTTCGCGATCGTGTCTTCGTATCTACGCGGTAAAATAAAAATGTATGCACGTACCCTGTCCTATGTCGATACAGGAATGAGAGGCGCCACCATGTACGGAAACGTAACCTTAAATGGTAGCTTGCCACCAAAGCCATTTTCTACTTCACAGCAAAAAGTCATCGTCACTGTCAATATAAACAGCAAAACGTAGCTAAATAATTTATTGAGTTAATAACGTTAAAATTCTTGTAGTTCGACGCTATCAAAAAAAACTATCAAAGTATTCTACGGTACCAAAACGAGAATTCACTATCATTAGCATTATTTTAAATGACTGACATAACATCTGCATATCATATTAAAAGAGTATCTTACAACATTCACATTTTCATCATAAAGATAGTAATATTTAGCTTGTACCTTTCTTATTAACAGAGAAAATCTTAAATAAGTTTTAACGATACGAATCATGTCTTGTTCGATTCAAATGACACAAAATTAAAACTGAATGCGCATGCGCGATAAACATGGTCGCCAAGAATTTCCAGCGCGGTATTAAACAAGCGAATGTCCCTTAACTATTTTCACATCTTTAAAACACGTTCTCTTCAATTTTTTTATACATTAAAATTTAGATTTCAAATTAATAGTTTTTTCTGACTGTATAAAAAGTTAGATCATTCGATATATAAAAATGTATAAAATACTTCGAGAACATTATTAATTTCGGTCTTTGCGTTGTTCTATCGAGATACGAACTTCCGGAAAGTAGAATGAATGTCAAGGCCGGAAAACGGATGCTATTTATTTTTGAAATTCGTCGAAAATAGATGTTTCGGGGTAAAAGAGCCAGACGGCGGATTCGAGAACTTGCACTGAATCAGTATGCCTTAGCAAGATGGCGAACGCCGTCACAAGAGTGGTGTTACGCTGTGAAGAAGCACAGAAAAATGAGAATCTCGGTAAATTGTCTTCCACAATACACATAATAAATCACTTTATTAGAATGTCATTGTTTTATTTTTGCCTGTTACTTTAAGTTTATCTGTTTCAATTGGTCGGTACATATGTAAGTGGTAGAATGTAGTTCATGACCTAGTTATCGCTGCTACAGGTGTATCGCGGGTTTTATAAAATAAACATTATGTAGCTCCGTTTAATTGTTCTCCATTTTCAACATAATATTTTTGCGTGTCATAACAGAATACTTAGAGAACTGTGGTCAAAAGTTAAAGGACAATATTTGACAGGTGTACAATTTCGATTGTTATCATCATGTGGTACTGATACACTGACCTAGTTTGACAGCTGATATGTCAAGAACACAATGGGACGTATACTATGTTATCTTCACTCTGTGATATAACAATTACGCGTATCATTTATAAGTAATGTTGACTTACGAAAATAAGAATAGTAATTTTTTATGTTTCGGCCATTGAAGTATTCAATTACGTAAATAAAATTAAAAAAATAATTATGTAACATCTATTAACATTGAATTTTTATTATTTCAGATCTGTCGGAATGCCAGTTGATGCAGGTACCCGATGCAGTTTATCATTTAATGAGACATACGGAATTGAAAAGATGCGATCTTTCCGGAAACGTGATAACAAAAATTCCACCAAAATTCGCAGTAAAATTCTCATTGATCACTGGTAAGTCTAATAATATTATATATGTGTGCGTGTATAATACATATATGTGTGTAAAAGTATAATAATCATTGTTGTATTTAAGCTTCTCAAAATCATTTTAACTTAACTAATTTTTTTAAATTTGATTTTTTTTTTCTTCAAGCTGCAAGGTAACACTGTAACATAAATTCAAACACATAATCGTTTCTAGAATTGAACCTCAGTCACAATCAAATGAGCAAGCTACCAGAGGAACTTGCAGAATTACAAGCTTTAGAAAGGCTGGATATATCACATAATACTTTCATTGCTTTGCCACCTGTTACATGTCGGATACCACAGCTAAAACGGCTTCTTGCCAACAACAACTCAATCATTGGTAAGCATTGCACATCTACATTACATAAGAAATACTTTGAACAATACAATTGCTGATACTGTTCAAACAGCCACTTAAATCTTCTAACCTCGATTCTATAATTTCAGATATAGACGTGGAGAGACTTAGGCATGCTCCAGTTTTGGAATTTATTGATCTTCAGGCGAATCCATTAACGCCCAGGATGCACGATCTTCTCGCTACTTTGACTCGAATTAAAATCGAATTGACGCCCAGACAGGTCGAAGAATGGGAAGATCTTACTATTTGAAGCGAATTTATAGTTTAAAGAAACAATCAAATCTGCCAAAGCGGCTACTAAACGTCGAATATTCGTCCTGCATGGACGTAGATTGCTTTTCTTGACTGAGATTGTTCGAGGGTTCGCACACGGATCGTTGCGCGAATTAAGAATAAACAGCAAGTATATGTACAGTGATAAAAAGCATATGACTGACCGATATCTGATGTGGCGATAAGCGGCAAGAAGGATCGTCGAGAAACGCGATTAACCGCAATTTTTCGTTCCTTATGATCTGTACTTAAAGAATAGAACTTGCCGCGTACCTGAAACTTTCTTCATTGATCTCGAGTGAATACCGATCAATCGTCACTTCATTTTCTCGTTTTGTACCGTGTGGAATTTTTTTAGATTTAATTCCGTTGCTCGCTCATTTGGCCGCGCAATGCTGTGATTGACATATGCGTAACATCGCGAGCCGCGATCCAATTTATTCTACCACATTTATACTAACTCCAAATAAGTATCCTGTAAATTTAAGATATGTTTATTATTTTTTATGCGTGGACTTGACATATTATTGTAATAAATTTTTACGACTGCCAGTTTACGGGCGATCGACTGCTAATAATGTTCGCCATAATCAATGAATATTTTGATTTTATAAAATACAAAAGGGAGTAAAGAAATAAAAAAAGAATAATTCGGGTATACCTATTGAGATGTACGAATTTACAATTCTTTTTTTCTGTTTAAATAATATATATACATATAACGGACTTGTAAAAATTTTGCAAGATCCTTTGTATTTAATTTATACGAACAATGTATATTAATTGAAATGTGTTATGTATTAATTATACTGTAGCTACGTGTACATGCACAACAGACATCAGAATGTATTGCTCTGTATTTCTGATCTAGTCAATTGTCCGCGAAATGTTGCAATATACTTTAAGAAACACAATTTTCTATTTTATTTCCTTCGTTTCCTTTTATAAATTAGAAGGAACAATTGTATGTACAGAATGTTAAATTAATTAAAGGTGGGACATATTGAAAGCTATCTATCTGATCGTATAAAATATTTCTGACACATGCATGTTGGTTTAGTAGCTATATTTTTTCAATATTAATAATAATAATTAAACGTATAATGAGTCACAGAGTTAATTATCTACAATACTTGCTCATGGATATAAAATCACAAAATATACATAGAATGGACGCGGTTTAATATTAAGAATTAAGGTAGACATACGGACCGTTCCTTTTTTACTTTTGTTCTATCATTATTTATAATAATTTTCTCTTTTCACTTTTAAAAAGTGATACAGCCTATCGGCGATCGAAGTTTAAGCGAAACGTACATCGAGATCGACTGTTCGCTGAAATCGACAAACGCATGCGAAAATATTCACGATTCTCGCAAAAAACCTGAAACTCCTCGATGCTCTCACGACTAACAGATAAATTAAAAAGCGTCGCGAAGGACGCCGCACGCGTTAGCGGATTGCTCGAGAAACGGAGCGAAACTTACAATAGAATCGTATATCGGAGCGAAGGGAAATTACGATATATCGATTGGCGGATGCGCCAGAGGAGAGGGCCGAATGACTTTTGTTTACCTGCACATACTTGCGTATCTTATATACCAAAGCTACACTTTAATGAGTGATTAATAATTTTATATATATATACATATACATATTTTTAATACGCGAGTATATATACGACTACACGAGTTCGATACACCGCAATTGAATCTAGGACGAATCTAGGCTTTGTAACAGCGAAGCTAAGAGTTCCTTCCAAAAGATACTGAAATGAAGGCGTTCAAAAAAAATATCAAGGGAAAAATGAACGCCACCATTTCGTACTTATTTTCTACGAATGGAAACAAATTCATTGCTTCGCGCGACGCATCGAATCTGGCACTCACACACGTACCACGCACTTCATTACTTCTCCCATGTCCTTTGCAAATATGTACACAAATATATCCTAACTAAATTCACATCCAGGCAACGTCGTAAACAAAACTTGGCCGATCGTTCTTCGGAATCTACTTGCTGTACAGAGCACCACCTAATCACCCTCCTCTTGTGTATTTAAAAACAAACACGTCAATTAATAAACTTACATAACAATAAAAGATACAAATAACGACTCCCACTAATTGTAAAGTGATGGCATCGCTTTTCCTATCGTCAGCAGAAGCAAGAAACCGATATTGATACGATAAAACAAATAATTCATTAGTTTGTTCCTATTCGTGTATATATTAGGAGTGTGCGGGTAATCGAATGTGTCGTATCTGATCGAAGAAAGTCGGACGAGCTCTGGTGGAAGCTCTCGAGTAGTTTGATTATATTCGGCCGAAGTAGATAATCATCACATTTGAATGCTGAATGTTAGGCTTCCACTGAACAAACGAGCACCATAAAAATGCCTCTGCTATGAACCGTATAGATATAAATATCTTATCGACGAATGTTTTTCCCTTTCTCGTTTGTTCAATGGAAACTTTATTCGAATATAATTGGACTACTCGGAAGTCCGTATATACTTTACTCAAATCCGAAATGTTAGGTATTCTGCACATCCCTAATATGTACTGTATATATGCATAAAAAAGAATATAATAATGCTACGGTTGATCAGTTTCTTGATCATCGGCAGAGATAGCGTGAATGAGAGTTGCCTGCTTTACAATCAAGTTGAACAAAAAATAATACACAAAACTCGTGCAGTTACAACAATCACAATCTTTATCCGTGACGTGTATAGGCGGGGCACATATTACGTTGATGGGAAATTACTTTCATCGATGAAGTCTTAACTCGTTCACTTGTGCACGTGTACATTTACAGAGGCACATTTACAAAAGTGATCAGGGTGCTTTTCATTGTTTTCCTTGGAGAATTGTGTCGTATCACTGAATCTATACGAACAAATTCTTTTTAAATGGTTAGATACGATATCGTTCTAAGTAATTGTACGATCTTAATATTCTATTTAATAATTAAGTGAGTTTAAGATTTCATTTTAATGGAGCTAGATTTCAAACACGAAATTCGTTTCCACTTTGTTCTTCCTTGTTCGATAAGCTAATTGAGAAAACAGAGGGAAAATGTGCTGGGCGATAATTGACTAAATTTCTGACGTTTAATACGCTCTTTCGAAAAAGGTCGAAACATTGGCACGTATCGATTTTTATGTATACGAAATCGTTCATTAACATTTAGGCCCATTACTTGACCAGGCAGTATCTGGAATCCTGTGTGCCAATCAACCAACACACACGTAAGCTCTTTCGATTATATAAAAATCTCATGATTGCTATTTCATATCGTTCAATGTAAGCCTTGTATTGAAACGATAGCGTTTAATAACCTTGTTCAAACTTCACTTCGGGTTCGTTCAACGTTCCAAGAGAAGTGGCTAAGTGTTATAAAGGTGACACTCAATGTAAGACGTAGGTACAAAGCCCTCGATCGGTTGAGATATACGACGAACACGCGTCCAACCATCCCCTTGATCTAATTCTATCATGTACAGTTCTTCTCCATCGTACATTGGTATAGAACCTTCGCTGGTCGCTAAAAACACAAACGTGAAATTTTTTCACAACCCTCCAATGTTCTATATTGACTTAAATATATCATCCTTATATTTTTGTAGCGTGGATTATGATATCATGGAATTTTAAATCATTTTCTTCTTGAAACTTCGTTTCTGATATGCAGCAATTAAGTATCTCGATAATGTTGTGGAACACGTACCATCGAAAGGATAAAGAGCTCTACATGTTCCCAATGGTGGTTGGGCGTCAATTTCATCGACATAATACTCTTCGCCGCCGCTGCCAGGAAGAGATGTCCTCGATTCCCCAAGGCCAGATTCCGGGCTATTCGTGGAACTGTGCATCAGTACCGTAAAGCGAAAAGCGTGTCTAATTGGTCTAGTTAAAAATTCTGATCTGTGCTTTTATACGAGTTCAGAAACTCATTATCACAACGATTCTTCCGTTCAACTTAAAGGAAACCTTTCGTTTCGGATCCTGAGCTAAGTCGGTGAAACACAATTCGAGACACGAATTTAATTATTAATTGAAGCTTACCCATGCGTAGGTTGCGGCGTACCGGGAGCACTTTTTTTGTGCATCGATTGGTTGGCATTCGTGTTGCTAACGCTGGAATCAGAGGCTGATCTCGAAAGACTCTCCTCGCCTCCCGAATGACTGGATCTTCTTGAACTCAACGGCCTCGTCGCAGAACCGTTGCTGGTAGGTTTCCGTGGTGCTTGACTGGGGCTGGAGATATTAATTGTACAATTTACTACGGAACTAAAGTAACGAGAAACCTATGAAATTTTTGCAAGGTCACCTGGATAGGCTGACACCAGCACGCATCGCTTCCTCGAGATAGCCTTGAAACTTTGCCAACTCCGCTCCAAGTTTATCCAGCTTGTTGCTCGATTGGTTCAGTTGTCCTTCTATGCTCATTGGATCTCCCAATGCAGGATTTTGCTCGTACACGCCTTTCATCTTCATCAAACCGTCCCTCGCTGCAGTCTCTTGTTGAATCTTCGCTTGAATTTCGTCCAGTCTTTGTTGAAGTCGTTTCTTTCGCTGATTCGGAGGCAGATCGCTACAGTCCTCCTTTGCACCGTCACCGTATCCAGGCACGTTGTTCTGTAACGTTGCCAATTGAGAATCGAAATCTTCGCGATGCTGGGACGAATGAATATATCGAATGAAGTACGATGGAAAATAAATAGAAGTAGAAAGCGCGCGATTCATCGCAGATAACAATGATACATGAGTTACTTCTACGTTACGATCGAAAAGTTAATAAACACAAAGATTCAACGACAGTTCGTTGATATTATGCATCACTATCACGAGCATACTCGGGAGTTGAACGGAGACTATCGTGTGAAATAAAAAATATACATAAAGATGATGATCTAAAAGATAATTCAAAGAACGGATAAGTTAAGGACTGTCGCACGGAATGACAATGGCGATTGTAAAGAGAAAGACAGACCTTTAAAGCTATGCACACCTCGATCAACTTCTGTTTTGTTCGCATGAAACAAATTCCAAAAGCGTATCATTCAGCGAATGAGTCAGAAACCATCTCAACGGTTGTGTTGAGTAAAAACTCAGTAAAAGGAACAAAAGGAAAGGACGAAACGTAGTTTCATTATACATGATATATCTATCTATTTTTTATTGTCTGAGTTTGTACTCGACCGACAAGACATATCTCTAACGATACACAATGATTACTGAACATTTGGATGCAGAGAAACAATAAAATGCTTGGTGTTACACAAATGGCAGGCGAGCAAGCAATTTCATACTGTACTTACTAAGTACAACAGTATCCAAATTCATAGTCCACGGGTGTTTGGAAACAAGAGACCACAGACAGATCGAACCATCCACCAAAATTAATAAAAAGTACAGAAGACAGATAAGTTATGCTTGCATTGCTGTTGCAAAATATATTTAACCGAATCGATCGAACAATTTACTTTCTTTTCGATCTTCACAAAACTACTCCGTACTACTATTTAAAAATATAATTGACAAAATAATCGCTTGAAAGATACGAATCGTTCATGCCATAACCCTTTTGCTAGAATAAACTGTAGCTGAAAAGCGGGTCTGTACAGTTGGGAACAATGATGCCTTCTCTCAGCAATTGTACAGAAAAATATTAGATGCTAACGCTACATTGGTGAGCTGAGAAAAGACATCACTGTATAGAATTGTACATACTTCTTCCGCATAAAACTACATAATTTATTTCGGTACACATTTTAATTCAATAAGTATATTATAATTTACTAGTCTATTTTTGTTTCGATTTATCTTTTGCACGAACGACTATAATCCTTAATAGCAAAAGGGTTAGAAAAAATCTGTGTGCATATTACAGGCCTGCTGACGAAACGATATTAAAAAAATAGAAGAATAAAGGGTTTCGTGCATCTCGTAACTAGTTTTTGTGTCATACTATCGCTGCTCTGACACTCTTGGGGTAAAACAAAGAAGAAAACGTGAGCACACGCTCGAGTCACAATCATATTTCCGGACACAAAGTAAAGATCTACATTCGTGGAATGCATCGAACAACAATTACCTTATTGCTACTGAATATGCCGAATAGACCGACCCTCTTCTTAATTTTACCACCGGAAACGGTACCCTTTACCGTGAGATGGTGATTGTGTATAGGCTGCATCACCGGTTGCGATAACTGACTATTACTATCGTACGTTTTGGCCACGGAAAGATCTTCGAACGGGAAGTCTCCTGGAGGTTGGAAACCGCTCTTGTAACGTTCGATCACCAACAATGTATCTTCCTTCTCGTTAATCTCGTTCGCTGCTTTCTCGATACCGTCTAAACATTGAGCAATTATCGGCGCTACTGCTCGTTCTATCTCCACCGATTTCAACATGTAGTTTCGCATATTCTTTATTCTCTTTTCGTCGAGCTCCTGAAATACGAGAAACAGTTAGTTTGGTTGAACGAAAATTAACCCTTTAACTGAAAATTCATGGACTTCTCCGAGGTATTCGTTTCTACTAATGCGATGGAAACGGTATTTGTAGTAGTTACATTGGTAGCGTTGCTAGTACTGGTGTACTCTACCTACTATAATTAAATTAGCAAGGCCACTAGTGTTTCTGCGCTAGTTACAATGACAATACTACTAGTCAACGTGAAGTGTAAAATACGTTAAGACCCTAGTGTGTAATATTACAAATGTGAAAGGTGCAACATTCTTCACGTTATCCTAGAATGTAATAATGTAGTAGTTAATAGAAACATCGACTATTGAAGTCCATGGTGGTCTCAGTCAAAGGGTTAAAATGTTTCCTAGATAATATTATAGGTTGTGATCAAACAATACCTGAAGGTGCTGAAATACTTCTGGCATGGCCGTGTGGTAATGCTGTGTCTGCATATCGTTTGTTTTCTGTAACTGGTTCGCGTACTCGGTCTTGGCCTCTTCACTTTGCTGAGTCTTTAAAGTCATGTTCATCCTCTGCTTCTCCACCTGGGGTGTAAATAAATCTCGTAAAGTTCATAGGTTCTACCACATTTTATCGACGTTTCTTCTCCTGTGTTAGATTCAAGTAAATAGCTAACACCATAAAACGTTAAATATCAGTCACGTTATATATTAGTAGCAGTTCCGCCATTAAAAAAGAATCCACCTACTTCCGCCCGTGATAGGTGCAGATCAGCATCTGCCCTCTGATAATTCTCGACCGCTCTTTCCGCCTCACGGAAAGCTTTCTCGTACGCCTTCCTAGCTCGTTCCAGATTCCCAATCTGACCCGTCAAGGTCGCCATCAATCTGGCACCTTCCTGAAGATGCTTCTTGCGATCCTCTTTGAAGTCTTTCACAAGTATATTTAACTCTCTCAATACATTCGCTTGCAGATTCTCCGCGATCACTTCCCTCTGTCCCGCCTGATCGTTCACCTCGTTCAGCTCCATCTTGAACGCTCGACAAGGACTGTACCTGCAGGCCAAACAGATTTCGATACGTCGATAGGTCGTTCTGGATCTAACGATGCGAACGGGAGATCTGAAATCTCCTATTGAAACGAACGAACACGACGGATCAGACGAGAAAAAAAGCAGCGAGCTTGCAGCCACTAACCGAGCGAGTTAGTGAACTTATAAAGCAACCCACCCACGCTCTCAGATAACAGAATAGCTACTGTTTCCCGTCACGTCTCGCGTGAAATATTAACCCCCTGTTTATTGAAAAACTCTATTCTCAAGTAATCTCCGACACAGTTTCTTACTTGTTCATTAGGACATAAAAGATTCGGAAAGATGTGTTTCGTGTGCAATTTTGTGCATAGGTAGACTCGATTGTTTATGTTCAGGCAAAGCGTGGTGGGACTTCTGAATGTACAACTTTTCATTTGGTAATAGGGACAGTTATGAAGGCATTCGTTTATGCATATTCCACTCTATCCCCTAACCGAAGAAAACCTTGTATGCGACCACTGCGGCGTATAATGGTTTCTCCCCCCAGTTAAATGCAAGAGGTTATCTTCCCTTTAATCGAAAGAAACCATAACTATAATGACTTTCTTCCCCTAGTTTCCTAAGCGTACCCAATAGTTCGTGATATTTTGAAATCTATTCGTTAGCTTCTTAGGGTTAAGTAAGCAATAAACTGCACATTAAAGAATAAAAATGTTATACAGAAAGTAAGAACCGCGCAGATATTTTGAAATAGGAATTATTTTGACGTATTATTCATGTCGGAAACATTACTACGGAGCGTGGATCCGGTATGACGCTTCTAAGTTGGCTCATACTTACTGATAATCCTCCTCCTCTTTCTTCTTAGGTTGATAGCTCTTCACAAGACGTCTGCAATCAGAAATGAAACAAGATTACCGATGCACGTGCAACGAATGATCCTCCGGAAACGGTATATGCTGGAAATTCTAACGTGACCTAATACTGAGAAGACAATTCTTATAAAGCTAAAGAAAAATCTAGGTTTAAACGATGAGTCTTCTTTTTCTGCGGTTTCAGATTATCTTGCGGGTTCCGCTTATTAGTAACGCAGCTAAAATTGCAGAAGAAATTCTGCGGGACGCGAAATTAGGTTACGAGTAATAATTGTCTGATTTTTGTCAAAATAATGTACTTTCATTACTTCTTTAATAATCTTCGCGTTTAAATAATCTTCAATCTTCAATCTGCTCTATATCTTAGTTTCTCAGTAACATAGGTTCTAGGAAGGAATTTGAACAGTGAACAACGTGTTCAATTTAAAAGAGGAAATCTGAAATCCGTGTAGCGTTAAACGTTCCTTGGAATTCATTGCACGAATTGAGTTTAGTCATTCGCGTGGCAAGAAAATAATAGCGGCCAAGTAATTCTAATTTGAACGTCAGGGATTGCCACGAGGATCGAACTATAAATGTGTGTCGACTGCGAAATGCACTATTATCCGGAAGTTGACGTGTCCTTGATACCAGATCAACCATACGTTAACTGGCCTTAACGTGCTCCGAAACCGGAAAACGTTCGTGAAAACGAGCATCGATTTCTAAAATACCAAGATCCGTGAACGCCGTAAGCCACAACAAGCAAGTCCAAGTAAGTAGACAGTGTGCGTGTCCGATTGGAAAAGCTATTTTCGAGTCAACTTGAATTCCTCTTTCTAGGTCTGGGTTGCTGTCCAAAAATTACGGCTGTGCTTCGAGTTAATTTTCATTGATATTTTTTTACAACTTTTCTCCTTCGAATATTATATATAATTTCACTTTAAATTATTATTTACGTTTTAGATAGAAATGTCCTATTATCGAAACGGAAATAACAGGAATAACAGGAATTCCTTATTATTGAAATAGGAATAATAGGAATTTTCTATTATCAGAGAGATTTCCTCAAAATATGAATAACAGAAATTTTCTATAATTAAAAGAAGAAACAGAAAAGGAAAGCTGTATCGTAAATAATTATCGTTCTATGTTTATTTGAAAATTTCGCAAACGATCGAGGAACGCGATCGAATGAAACGTTCCGGATTTAAAGAACACCGTGATTCGTAGTCGTTAGACCGTTTTTGATGGAAATGAACGGTGCATCGAGGAAAATTGCCACACGGCAAACGGTACTGCATTTGTACAAGTAACGCGGGCATGTATCGCTGAAATTACGACGCATTAAGGCGAGGAACGTGCTCGTGATAATTTATATGCAACGAAACGAACGTGCCAGGGGATAGATGTGTGCGACGAGCACGCGAAACGATTCTCTAGTTTTACACGCGCGAACTGATTAAGGGACAACGATAACATCCGTGCCAATTAAATCTATGATTCGAAAGAAATCGAGTAGACGCCCTTGTATCGTTTCCGATACGCTTCCTGCTTTGATTAAAGCGAGCGATAGGACGCGATTAAAGAACGCTTAACACGGTGATTGGCAGTGATTGAAACAGTCAATGTGGATTATTAGGGATTTATAACGCTTCTATTTCCTATTTCAAATTGCGATTCAAAGTTTTCTTCGGATTTTAATTGCTTAAATAAAATTTATAGCGTGCATTATTTATTTCAAATTGCTGTCATAATAGTTCTTAAGTATAACTTAAAATCATCCTCTTAAGGTCTCAGCAAACTTAATATGGTCCACGTAAAGACACTTTATTACCGTTTCCATGGAATATCATACTTTTCTAGATTCGAAGAATATCCTCCCAATTAAAAAGATAAAACAGTTAACGATAATTATTTAGTAGAAGTATTTTATTATTCCATTAATTCGAAGGAAGGAAATGAGCTGGTTCTGAGACACCCGGTAGGACAAAAGTGTGCAACAGTAGACGGCATTCACGGAACAAACAAGGGGTCCCTTTAATACAATATTACTGGCTACATCTTGTGTCCGTGAACTCTATAGGGTGCGTGAGACACGTTCATTATACAGGATGTCCTATTGAAATCGTTAACCTCGGATACTCCCCTGTTGTTAATTTATGTAGAAAAAGAAAGGCCGCGTATGCGTCAAGGCTCGGATAAAAACGAGTGCATCGATGAACACGTGATAGTAGCTAGGCATAATCCGTTCAGAACGGAATAATAGACTCATGTTTCTTACCTGAGTTTTGCAGCGTATTCCACTTCGATAGCGCATCGATCACGAATGAAGTGGCCATACCTTTCGAGGAATTCTATCCCTTTTTGCGTGTGCAGGGACAGATTCTCGAACTGGTCCTGTAACAAAAGGGAACAGGTAAAATTAGACGTGCTTGACGTTTAATATCCGCTTGTACGATATCGCGTATTCGATTAGCGCTCGTCACACGGCGGGACAGAATAGCGATCAGAATAGATTATAATTTTCAAAGCGCAAAAATTGCACTTCGCTTCTCACGTATCTTCGGCGTGGGAGAACAATTGTTTACAGCGGTTCAATCAGATCGAAAAACAAAGGGAGTAAACTAATTTCTCTGAGTTCACAGAGCTTATCTTGTAGCTGGAGTGCAGTTTAAATATCGACTTCGGCGTAATTAGGTGGAGTAGTAGTATCTCATCATAACGGCAAGAACAATGACCTACAATTCACTGTAAAAGAAATTTGGAAATTCAGGATACGCGACATCGAGTATTCAGATATCGATACTTGGACGTTACCGGCCCACTCTGCGTAGCGAACGCGTTAAAACAAATAGCGATAATTTCTCTTGGAAGCAAGAAAACGAGCGTGCATAATTTCCATAGCGAGACGCGTCGCGTCTCGTCGGCAACATTTCTCTCGGCCGTCTGCAAGCAATAGAGAAAATTTTTCTTCGCAGACACGGCCGAACGGCGCTCGGTCGTCGACTGAGAAAACCTCCGTTGGCACACATACACTGGCCGCCCTCCTCGGGACAATGAGGGATTTCGCAAGGCTGCACACGCTAGCCGGTAGAAAGATTTCTGACCGTTTAGCGGCTCGGCACGAAAAGTGAAACTGGACTCTGTTACCGCAACGTGGCAACTCTTCTAACTGGTCGACGGCCCAGGAACCGCCATAGGTTCCTGGTCATTTATCGGGCTTAGAAATCGCACGGTGCGCCGCGTCGTCGCAGCCCAAACTTTCGCTCTCCTTCTTTCATCCACGAATTTTCATTCACGATTTTGACCAAGTCCGATGAATGGCCAACGTAGATAAGCTCTCGACGTCTATGAGAGCGTGACCCGATTAATCGGTACTCCGATTCATTCATGCCGAGAGAACATATGGTTTACACGGGATATCGTGTTCTCGTTCCTTTGGTACCGTACTCTTTTTTTCGTCGTATTATTAACCGAACGTCGACGTAGCGCCAGGATACCGAGAATACCCAAGGTTCTGGGAAAACTTGGAGCAACTCCGACATTAGCCGAGTCACGGAATGCGAGCTTTATCGTTCAAGGACGATCCTGTCTTTCAACATTTAGCCACGGCTTAAGGACAAGTCGAGCTACCGCTCCAACGTTTACCTGGATCGTGTTCAGAGAAAGAGAGTGGAAAAGACAGAGAGAAACCGATCGTGTCGCCTATTGCTCCGGCATTCGAAACGCGTTACTTTCATTTCCAACCAGTAACCATTCAAGGGCCACGCATCGATTGTTCAAACAGGGGACCAGAGGATGCGTGTGTTACCTGCTCGATCACCGGCTCTTTCCTTTCTCGAGATCCACCTAGCAAACACGGTGCAGCAAAAAAACTACGAGAGGATCTCGTGACGCATCGATGTCACGCGTGCGTGGCGTATTTGCGCGCCAGACATCTCTTCGAACGCATTAAAGTAATTAACTTTTATGGTTCGACAGTGAAATATGGAAAACGTAGGAAAAAGCTGCCAGTCATCAAATCATACGTTTCGGGTTTAATTAATCGACATTAATGATTCTTTCTAACACCGTGCCACTATGTATGATGTACGATCTCGTTTTCTACTTTACTGTCGCTAAATCTTTCTTTTTGCGATCGTTACTTTTTCTCTTGATCGTTCAGCTCGATTATAGAAGATTTCGAATTAGTATTCTTTATCGGAATAAAACAGGTGCATCGATATCGTATTGGAAGACGGATTTCGTTGTCGCTGTAAAATTATATACCAGGATACATAAAACGAAAGGAAGGTTTTGTAACGCAGATTCGCAACAACCTCATTTTATCGTCGCAAATAGAAACAGCAAGATGCAAGCTAATCAAACTAGGTATAACATGATACGTGTATGAATAACGATACACAGCTTGTGATACGATATTATGCGTGCATCGATACACGGCCAAACTGGATATCGACGTAGTCGGCAGCCGATCACGGATCCGAAGAACGATTTCCCGGGAAATATATTTTTCCCAAACGCGAATCGGGTAGTCGTGACTTTCTCATTGTGATAACTGTGAAGCGGTTGCCTCGTGACCGGCCAATTTCAGACTAAAATAACGGAGAACTGGTAACACAGGTGGTAGTCGAACTCCGACTTTCGAACGTAAGGAACAGGAAAACCTACCATTTTACCTCTTTTCCTCGTCGATCCACTTTGTCCGTATCTCGACCGAGCGGTGATTTTATTTTCACGTAACTCGGATATCGACCGTCTAATTATTCGATTAACGCGTTAAGCCTTTCAGTTTGTCCGAGAAAACACGAATGTTACGTAAATCGGTCTGAAAGAAACGGTTAACGTTCGAGTTAGGATATTACGCTCGCGATACGATACGAGAAACAAGCAGCAATTTAAAAAATCGTATCGCACTTGCGATAAGTTCTTTAACGGAAATTCTAGACTAATTAGATCGTTAATATAGTCGACCGATTCTGTTTCGTTGCCTAGTTCACTGCTATCCAGTTTTAATTACCCTTCAAATTTACTCGAGCCTTCGGACCGTAACAGTTTTCGAAAGCATCCAAATTAATTTTTTGTATTCGAAAGCAATCAACATATTTTCGAGAAACCTCGATCGGATAAATTATCTATTTGCAGCAGAGATAAATTGAACGAGACGGGTGTAGACAAACTACTTATCAGTTTATGAAGGTCTGCACGGCGAATCAAGAAAGCCTCGTCATTGTAGTCGAAGCTATTCGATTATCAGTCGGCGAGATGCGAATGAAATTATAGTCCATTATCCAGAATCGATTTCCAGGCGTGCAAAGTCCCCGGTTTGCACGATGAATCGGCCTTGACGAGTTTCCCTTCCGACCAATCCAGCGTATTCTGTGCCGCAGGTCGATAGATGGAAAACGCACACACTAAGCCACCCTATGACTCACCCTGGTTCGACCTTTTTCTCTTTTTTCAAAGAGCTGCACTTGTACGTCGACCTAACCTTGCCAGGCGCAGACCATTCAGGTCGGGTTTGTTCGTCCCCGGAGATCGGTTCCAAGCTTTCCATTATGCACGCGTATGGCAGGTACCCTTTGCCGGAGCACCTGCCGCCTTTATCCGCTACTTTCTTCTTGCTTTTACCTTACTGCCATGACGGCCGAACTTTCAGGCTTTCGAATTGGTCCAAATATTCGGGACACCGCGAGTGAAACGCTTCGATGCAACTCTCGAGCGTTTCGGTTCATTTTTCAAATTTTATTACACGGTTTTGCTTCGTGGTTCAAATCGATATGTAACTTATGAGTTTGATGGTCATTCTTCTATATCGGTATTTACATACATTAATGCTGTGTATAGTACACTACGTGGCCATAGAAGAAGCGACAAATACTCTATGCTCTTTACCGCACAATTCGTTCGCCTTTTTTAAACGCTTACCTCCATACATTCGTTACCTACTATCCTAAATACCGATCACGAAATAACTTGTATTCAGCACTAAACTCGTTAAATTGCAAACAATTTAGTTAGAGATCAGTCTCACCTGCTGCGATTTGCTATCGAATCGCTCTAATTCCTTTATATTTTATTCCTGACACACCTATCACCGTCTCAAATCCTAATCGACGTGAAAGTAGCTGTTACCACGTTACAAAAGCTTTTGTAACGCACACGCGAATCGACCAAGGTGTGCAAAGTATGTGTCGTCATTCTTTCTAATTAATTAGGTGTCTTGGTCGCACGAACGCGGCCGCTCGCCATCAAAGACACGCGTTTCAGCAAACGGAGGATAAAAACCTTTGCTCGGATGAACCGACGTTAATTAATTCACGGTGAACCAGCGCTGTATCGCCGGGAAAAGCGGGAAAGACGAACATCGTAGGAAAATCAATAGCGGAGGGCAAGCGAATTACGTGCTATCGCGAGAGGAAGTAAAAACGAAAAATGAAAAAGGCGGGCAGAAAGAACGCTGTAAAAATAGTTTATAAAACAAAGAGACACGCGAGCGAGAACGAAAGCCTGCGGACTCGAACAAGTGTGTATTATGAGTCACGAAATCGCGTTGGGGTGGTTTTGCTTTCCTACCATGCACCCTATTGATCCTGAATTTCTCTGTATATACACTCACGCAACTTGAAAGAGCGAGCGAGACAGACCGAGGGACCAGAGGGTGACAGACAAAGAGGATAGGGTGACGAACAGACAGACAGCAACCAACGGAAAGAGAAATTTGTCTCGTGATATACAGGATTAGTCACCGGAGACGGAACACCTAAATATTTTCGTTCTTTACGAAGCTATAAATAGTAAGAGCATTAAAGAGTCTAGCTTAGGATTCTTGACTCTAGGGTGGATTCTCACAATTAGACGTATCGTATTAATTTTCGTTGGAGAATATTGCCACCCACTGGCAAAGTTCATACCCTTTCCACGCCCACGACCCTTGCTAACCAACAAGCGATGTCAAACGATAATATTTTAAAGTGGATACAAGGAGTTATCGTGCGTTGCTCAAATATTGGCAAAGAGCGATCGAGTGTTATATATAAACAGGGTGTGGCTCGCGACAAAAGGCAAACGTTTGCTGCCAAAACATATTTCGAGTATGTTTCCTATTAATCTCTATTAACTTGCCTCTTGCAAGTTACATCTTCATAAGAATACACCACGAAGTACAATTTGTTTATAAAAAAGAATCGACACGAATATCCGCGTACTCAAAGCTACAGGAAGGCTTTCGGTAAATAAACTAGGACAGACAAACTAAAAGGAAAATGAATCAAAGAGAAACAACGCGATTCACCAGGTTGAACAAACTACTCGCTGATACGCTACGACGATACTCGTACTCTTTTATCGTTGCTTATAGGACAGCTAGTAGTAACCGGTGAAACACGAGAGCATGG